TTTGTAATATTAGTATAGATGTTGGAGTATTGGAGGAAATCCCGTTTGTGTATTATTTAAAGGTAAACGCTAAGTTCCAATGATTCCATGACAAATCTGTATATTAATACCTATTATTAAAAAATTATCATCATCATCATCGGACACGGTTTATCACAAGACTGTAAACACCGACCAGAACAAATACTGACAAACAGATTGACACCCGCCAATTGGTATGAATAGAAATCAGCACCAAATTATTTGTTCTAGGTTGGAATTGAACCTACAACCTCTGGGTCTTCAATTAGGGACATTAAACCAAGAAGCAAGTCACAATGACAGTAAACATAGGAACGGCTAATTAGTTTTTTTTTGTCAGCATCATTATTGGCGCGAGTACAACCGTTGTTGATAAAGTGCCATTTTTTTTTGTTCTGTGTGGTGTAAATCTTTGTGTCCGTCTTGGCATAGCTTCTTTAAAATGAGCTGATTGATGTGGAATGAATAGAACATTCAATCGAAATCGTCGTTGTTACATGTGATGACTTTAAAGCGGGGCAACCTTCACCTTCAACTAACTGCCTCTTGCTGTAGCCGAGTTATGGCTCAAAACTTCTAGGTAACGATTAGTGTACATCAATGTTATTAAAATAAATAAAAAAAAATGAGCCATCGCACGACGTCTGGCAGATGTGAAACATCGGATTTTTTTTTTGTAGAAATATTAATAATAATATTGTATAATAATGAAAAGAAAAAAATTATGAGCAGTCACGATGGCGACGCTCGCCACGCCAACAGCTGCTCCGGCCCTCCGCATTAGATGTTTGATGTGAAGAAAAAAATTGATGTATTTTATAATATAATTTACCAGAATCGACTAAGATAAATACTCGTATTATCGAGATGTGATAAAATGTGTGTTTGTCACTGAACTTTAACTAAAGCGCGGGCAACACTCATTATTTTTTTCGGGCCTGTGTTTGAGTGAATTCACAATAACGCCGGCGAAAACGCGGGAATTTAAGGTTCATTGTACATTACGGTACGGGCTTAACATGTAAAATTTTTGATCACTGTTACATTAACAGCCTGTAATGATCCACTGCTGGACATAGGCCTCTCCTTAGAAAGGAGGTTTTGGCCGACTATACCAAGCTGGCCAGACGGGTTGGTATAGGGTTTGTGTCAAGTTTTCCTTCTCTTTTCAGTGCTGTTGACCTGCGTAGTTTGCTCGCTTAGTCGGCTCTTACGACACCCACGGGATGAATAGGGGTGGTGACACTTTCTAGGGTATACCTGGTTCCCCGGCTATTAGTACCCGAGACGGCGTGCGGTTTTAGTCGGTTCGAGTCCGACATGCCACCGACAGGTGGTATCCGAGGGGATTGCCGCACGGAAAAAAAACACTCCGTATTCTTAATCCGTCACCACACGGAACACTGTTAAACATGATAAACTAAAACCGGGTTGTAATAAATAGCCTATAGAAAGTGAAAGGCATAATTTGATCAAACAAACTTATTGTAAAATAGTTTTAAATATACATACATTTAGACATCAATCCAGCCGGATAACCCAACTCTACTCTAGAATTCACAGAAACACAATTTAGGAACACAACTAATGTCACAAATTTAAAAAGTTTTCTCATTTTCACAATAAAATTGAAGGATTAATTTAATTTGCAGTTATTTGTAACGAACAATAATTTAATTTTAAAAATATATGGTAGGTGGTCTATGGCTTTCATACTAGTTTTGGCGCGAATGTTTTTTTTTTGTCGTGTAACGAGTAACGACTGCACGTTCTTAGAGGCTAATAACAACTGGTGTTGCAACAGTGGCTGCGCTGATGTTGTGAAAAGTAAGGAATTTAAGTGATTGTCTTTAAGATTATCTTCTATTAAAATGTGAAATGTGAGGTTGGATTTATGTTTATGTAGGCGGTGACATTTTATTTCTTTTAACCCACTTCAAAAAGGTGGAGGTTTTTTTTAAATGTATGTTCGGACATAATTGGACTGCACGGATGGCGTAGTGGTTTAAGCGGTCGCTACGCCGCTTCCTACAACGCCGAGTGTTGTGGGTTCAAACCCCACATAGGACGACACTTTGTGTGATCCACAAATTGTTGTTCTGAGTTTGGGTGTTCTTTGTGTCCGTTTCATGTATGTTTGTAAAGTACCCGCGATACAGGATATATTCCTAATGCGGGAGTTGTCTTTTAAAAAATAAAAATAAAAAATATATAGACAGCTTTTCAAATTTTTTTTGTTCGAATGGGGTTTATTCCGAAATGATCTTATTTAAATTTCATATAGTCAAACTCTTCAAAAAATGAAAGCATATCAACCGCGATTGCTGCTAGGTTTTTAGTGCTCGTTGTTAGTATTGTTTGAAGTCGGTTCGACTTTTCTTAAGAAGGATGTTCTTGTATTCAAAAATATAGCAACGCAAATTTAAAGTTTCATAAAATGTACTTATCCATATTTATTTATTTGTTGTCATCTCTTATAATACAACTCGTCAATAAAATACTTTTGATCTATAATTAATAACATCAGCATGGATGTAGCATTATTAGTTTAAAATTGAGATTTTAGCGAACTTTTAATTTCAGTAGTCTTTGTTTTGATCTTTTTTTTTCTAATGGTTTGAGATTGAAGATAGAATTTCCACATTTTTGTTTTATTTTCTGAGGCAAAACCTGTTTGTAAAGAGTTTTGGGGATCCTAAAAAACTTCTCAGTATAAAGTAAATCCTTGAAGTTAATGTTCATTTAACGATTTATCAGTAAAACTCTTAACTCTAAAAAAATAAGAAAAATGATGTCACAAAAAAAAATCAAATAATCAAATGCTACACTTATATAATAATACTGAATGTACATAGAACTACAATAACAAAATCGACATACTTCGGCACAAATGGGCCAGCTTGACCTGCGTGATACGATCTCACATAAAACCCATGTTGGGCAATTATTTTGTAGCTTATCACCGAGTGATCATCGAGAGACCATCTGGTGACGCTTTAGTTCGTCTGCCCCTATGCCATAATACAAAAAGAAACAGATAATATCGCCTTAGCAATCGATCTTATCGTTTTGAGAACTCGTAAGGAGTTACTACACCTCTAGTATACTATCTAACTGTTTTTTTTAAATCAAGATTACTTGGGAAGGTATATATTTAATCCATGTATAAGAAATCATTTAAAAATTAACTCTAGTTTACATGACAATTGGATTTATACAAAATCTTGATTTCAGTCTGTCAAAATCGAAAACTGTGCAAAGAAATTAAAGCATCTAAAATAATACTGGATATTGTTTATACATTATATGCTTCACGTCTTGCTCTGGCTGAATCTATATTGATATTTCAACAAAATATTGAGGTACGATGATAAATCGGTTTCACAATCTCAATCACGACTATTTTCATGCCCTGCCCATGCTCAACGGGGGACCTAACATTGTGCCCTGCGTGCACCTGTTATTGCTTATAAGAAGAATTTTATGTCCGAGACTAAAATTGTAGTGCTATTGACTGCCTCTTTTGAATATACCAAAGCTACTTATAATATTTCATTCAAGTATAATACCGAGAATTTTATAATCTTAGAATGTGCATAGTTATCTGTGTCATAGGCTTTTGAAAGAATGAACGTGTTTTGTGTAGTACTCATAAGCACAAAATCTCACAACTGTCACACATCACACTAATATACACAATACTTACACATATTACTATTATTATATATTATTATTATATTCTCAAATTCCTACACCAGACACATTTTGAAAATTGTTAATGCTTAATTAAATGCGTTAATTAATAATTATTTTGTATAAATGTTAGTCCTACTGAAAATCGCTTTTGTCCGAAAGCCGCGATTCAGACTTCGCCTAGTGCAGCTTTTATTGATATTGTAATGATGACATGCAACTGGACTTTCGAAGTTTCTTCTTTCAGGCTCTACTACCTCCTAAAACTCGAGTTTTTTCGTTAAATTTCTGAATATAAGCTACAGCTCTATATATATATTTATATATATATATATATATATCTAATTATTCAGAAACAAATCATTGTAAAACACATTCATTTACCCTAAGATGGCCCTAGAAATCACCGCTTGAGCCTAGTTTCAGATTGTCTCACGTAAACAAAGATCACAGCTGTCAAAATCTATGTATACCTGAGTAAAGATTTCGACACAAACATCGATCTAAAATAAGCTATCACTCACTTGAGTATGGATCGGTGAATCTTGTTTAGAGCGACGTTCAATAATAAAATATTTACTTAAAATTAGTTTTAAGACAAGATTCACGATTGAGACCCTTTAAAATACGGGCCCAAATAACCCAATGGTTGATAGACAGAAAATACCTACAGCGTTAAGTCTGCCTTATGTAAAACATTGAGAAATATTACATTTATTTTTAAATACTGTTCAGACATTAAATGTTACTCCGCAAGATGGCGTCAATTTTAAATAATATGTTAAGAAAAAAATACCTCATTAGAATGAAGCAAAGATGTTTATTTTAATGCAAGATCCAATTATCGAATGAAACTTTGTCACGCAAAGATCTCGTTTGTAAAGATTTCTTCAAGTGTTACAAGCAGTGAATTTTGAACCTTAAACATACAATTTGTAGTGGAAATTTCAAGTTAATTTATCCAATAACTAACAAAACACAAATATACAAATAGGGCCTACAGTATAACCTGATAAAAAGAAATGAAATGCAAAAAAACGAATCATATGGGGATCGAACACACGACACTCAGCGCAGCGGAGCGAGATGATTGCTGAAATCACGTGCTGTAATCCGTGCAGTCCGTTTTCATTTCGCCTTTTAAGTTTTAAGTATGTAGGTAAAAATCATTAGTGTATTTTTAATGACTAGGAAACCTAGCTCCAGTAAACTCACCAAGGCTTTAAAGGGCCAATCATCAATACCACACAATGGTTAAGAAAAAACATTAAGTTTTAAAAGTGTAATCAAAATTTCAGAGGTTTTGCGTATTGACAATCTTCGCATTTAATCTTGGTTTTACAGACACGCCCTTTGCAAGGATATTCTCCCTTCCTTGGGAACTGTGGCGGCTTTTCTGTGGTAAACCATGGTTTGTGGAGCTTGTTCAGCATTGAGAGCTCGAACTGGTAGAGTTCTGATGGGGCTGGTGATGCGCATTGCAGAAGCATCGTGGTTATGAAGACAGGTATCTGAAAGATAGAGTTTATATTATAAATACGCTTTTTGTGTATACTAACGTGTTATTACATAAAGGTAATATTTACAAAACAAATCTTCATTAATATATAAATTATTAGTAAAAATGTTACTTCATAACAAATGAACAGGATAAAATAAGTATGGAGGTAGTATTAATATTTAACAGTATGTGATTAGTGTAAAAGATAAATATATTAATAAAGTGAATATCCTGATAATTATGGACAGGAAAATATAAAACTAAACCAGTTAGACACAAAATAATCATCATTAATTTTTTCATCAACAGACTTTACTAGGCCACTGCTGGACATAGGCCTCTCCTTAGAAAGGAGGTTTGGCCTACTATACCACGCTAGCCAGACGGGTTGGTTTGCTTCAAGTTTTCCTTCTCTTTGCAGTGCTCTTGTTCTGCGTAATTCACTCTCTTAGTCAGCTCTTACGAGACCCATTTGATGAATAGAAGTGGTGGCACTATGTATTCTTATTCGTTCACCACACGGATACATAAATTAAATCTACGTTAAATTGTCTAATTTTTAGTTTGTTTATCTAGTCTTTTGTTTATGGTATAAGGGGGCAAACGAGCAGACGGGTCACCTGATGGTAAGCAACTCAAAAGTCACAAGTGCGTTGCTGCCCTTGAAGTCCCACCCGCTCGAGTCAGCGCGACCGGGGGATTTCTGCTCCGGTAACCTCACTCACTCAGTGAAAGGCAACGAAAGAATTGCTTAATACCAGTTTTCTATGAGACCGTGGTATCACTCCGGTCGAGCCATCCCATTCGTGCCGAAGCATGGCTCTCCCACGGTAATTCTTTGGTAGTAGTTTAGAAAAAGTTTATTACACTAGTTCACACACAAACAAAGACGTGGTATTTTAGGAACTTAGAGGAAGGGTACAAGATATTGAATAATTTAAACATCTTTTAATTAATTACCAACGAAGCGAGAAGTTAACAATGTATTGTTTGTCAAAATACGATAAAAAATAATCATTGTTATCAATAATTAAACATGATGATTTATCAGACAAAAACCATTTGACCGTGGGAGAGTTATTGGAAAGACAACAACACAAAATTCATGGTCTGGTTTTCATAAAAACGCTCACGAGGCGTTGTGGCAGTCACAGAAATACTTCTTTTTATGGAAGAGGGGGCAAACGAGTAGACGGGTCACCTGGTGGAAAGTGACTACCGCCGCCCATGAACGCCTGCAACTCAGGAGTCACAAGCGCGTTGCCGCCCTTTTAGGAAGGAGTACGTTCTTTTCTTGAAGGTCGTATAGTTGCGGAAACACCGCAGACGATAGCTTAATAATAATATACCTCACACATCACACACACGGCCGTTTGGTCACAAACTAGCCAAGCCCTGTGCTATGGTAACCAGACTGCTGATAAACATACTTATATATTTTAAATAAATTACCAGACACGGAACAAATGACCGTGCTCATCACACAATATTTGTCCTGGGTGGGAATCGAACCCACGACCTCCGATATAGCAGTCAGGGTAACTAACCACTAGACCAAGATTCCCGTCAACTTATCCCACAGGTTGGTTGTGCGAGGCAAAAAGTGTCTTGAAAACCACACAGTGCGGTATTAGTCCGAACAATTTCTCGGAGCACTCTCCATTGTGGATACGTTAGAGAACCAAGAGTGAAGCTACACCTCTACGTAACGCCAAGGTATCGATCCGATCGGAGATCTTTGGACTATCGCCATTGGAGTCGCTCTTCGTTGGATGCGGTCCAGAGGGAGAAGCTGGTACTGAGGTGCCCCTGCATAGAGATGAGAACAGTATTCCATATGCAGCCGGACTTGTGCCTTATAGAGCTAAAGGCGGTGGACCGGAGTGAAATACTGCCTCGATCTGTTCAGGACACCGAGCTTCTTCGAGGCCAATTTGACCTTACCCACTAAGTGACCCCGAAACTGGACTTCGCTCGATAAGTCCATGACAAGGATTCCGATACTGGCTGGGCAGTTAGAGAGGTGCTCTCAAACCGAGGTGATACGGCAAACGGTATCTTCTTTGCCGTGACCGCGCAAATCCGTGTCTTTTTCTGGTTAAAATGGACTAGATTTAGTCGGCCCCAATCTGAAGTTTCAATTTCAGACATAAGTGTGATTCGACTATCGATGACGTTTTCCCGAGAAATATTGGGGCAGCCGGTACAAAGGGCATATCCCGTGCTATCATCCGCATAGCAATGGATGCTACTAGTTTGCAACATGTCATTGACATGCAGAAGAAATAGTGTGGGTGAGTGCTACGACACGAAATTCATGTGTTGGCTGTCTTGTTATATAAGTGAAATCAAGAAATATAAAAATAGAACCGAATGTATTGGCGAAATTAATCTATAGGTATATATGTATATATATATTTTTCTTTAAAAAGACAACTCCCGCATTAGGAATAAATCATGTGTCGCGTGGGACTTTACAAACATTCATGAAACGGACACAAAGAACACCCAGACTCAGAACACCAATTTGTGGATCACACAAAGTGTCGGCCCATGTGGGGATCGGACCCACAACACTGGGCGTAGTAGGAAGCGGCGTGGCGACCGCTTAAACCACTACGCCATCCGTGCAGTCAAATATCAAAATTACTTGCCCCAAATGATTGACTGATTTATCAACGCAGAGCTTGAGCCAGCCAGAGACCACGGGGCTACAAACTACTCCAAACTATCCATGTTGTAAACACCCACTAAGAAATATATATTTTTTAATCCTGTCTTACCTTTTGCCTTGTCCGTGTAGTGACGGATTAAGAATACGGAATGTCACTACCCCAATTCATCCCGTGGGTGTCGTAAGAACCGACTAAGGGCGCAAAACAACGCAGGACACCAGCACTGCGAAAAGAAGGAAAACTTGACACAAATCCTATACCAACCCGGCTGGCAATCGTGGTATAGTAGGCCAAAACCTCCTTTCTAAGGAGAGGCCTATGTTCAACAGTTTACTATTAAAGGCTGTTGATGTGATGATGTGATGTGACCTCTTACCTTGAATTTTACTCCCTAAAATGAGGGATTAACGGTTGTTTGGAAGTTCGTAATTTTGTTCGTTTTTTCGTTAGAAACATGAAATAAAAAATAATGCAAGCGAAGCCGGCAATAGCTGTTTGTTGATGTGAACAATTCACTCGTCAGCACATCGACGTCATCAGTGTATTGAATTATTGACAGTGCAAACACAAAACATAAATGTATATCAAGAACGGATAATTGTCACTGAGTTCTCTCCGCGACTGCGATGAGCCATGACTGCGACCAGTGCAATACGATGTGTGCCTTATCAATCAGTCAGAGAACTCAGACTACCGACGGGGTACCAAGGATTTCCCCTCTAGGGTACACCTGGTTCCCCGGCTACTGGTACCCGAAGGTTTTCAGTTTTTAGTCGACTGTGGTATGGACGGTGGTAAAAATAATCTACAAAATGATGCACTACAATCAACGTTGTTATAATATTGTCAAAGCTATAACGTGGCACCTTTTACTTTAGTCATGTCTCCAGAAAAGTTAATCAGTTAATTCAACAGTTAACACAATGCACACAAGTTAACAGTTGTCACTAAACACAAAACATTTATCAATTTTCATTAAATAACTCACCAATATATTCATGACGGTATGTTCACACAACACGAGGATACTGAACAAATCACCTTTTAGATTTTGGTTACTTTTCGCTTCCGATTTGCATAAATACTCGCCGAGTACCGCACAACGGCCCACATCCGATGTTTACACATCATCTGCCGTTATCCGCTTGATATTAAATTACGCTTTGATTACTAAGGCTATGATACACTGCATGGGTTTTATCAGTAATTATTATCAAACATTAGATAAGACTGTAATACGTTGAAGAAAGGTGGGGTAAGAATCACTGCACGAATAACAGCGGATGTTAACAAACCTCTTGAGTGTTCAACTTTTTGGACGTAAATTATCTTCATCAAATCTTAATCATCATATAAAAGTAATCATTTCATTTTGAGTATTACTCGTAGTTCCACGAGTTAATCTGTGAAAACTGCTTAGTTTTGTAAAATATTCGACCTGAATTAGACATTTTAGAAAATGTATTCATCATCATAATCAACAGGCTTTAATTGTTCTTCTTAGAAAGGAGGTTTTAGCCAACTATACCACTCTGTCCAGAGTGGGTTAGTATAAGGTGTTGTTGGGGCTTCAACGTAGTAAAGAAAAGTGCTCCCAAGATTTGTTCAGGGCTTTAATGTCCAAGATAACTATTTTTTTTTAAATTTTGTGTTTCGCAATGCTCGCTCGTTGGAAGTCGGAAAGAAAAGAAAAATATGTTGTGAGGTAGTTACAATGCATAGTGATGCGATACGAATGATAAGAATAGCATAGACAAACTATCGGCGTATACGGCGTTAACAGGTGTGTCTTAAGGTAAGGAAACCTTGAGACACACCTTATGCTAACCCGTCTCTCTCTCGTTGCAGTGCAGTTGTCGTACGTAGTTTTGCTCCCTTAGTCGGCTCTGACGACACTCTTGAGATGAATAGAAAATGTATTACTCTTTACAAATATTTTGAGCTTAAAATCAATCTTCCAATCTAAAGTTATCTTAACAACATGCAATAACAATATATCTTAGCAACTCGGGCAATTCTGATTTGTAAAAGAATATATGACTCATCGCGGGAACAACGCATAGTCTGTCGGAAGTCAATGCGCACATCGTCTTTCGAACTCATTGTGAATACAATATACTCCATTTGTGTTCTGACACATTCTGATGTTCGTACGGTAAACATTACTACTTAAATATTTTGTCTACTTATCTCGGTATGACGTGTGTTTACTGTTTAAAGCCCTTAATGCGGTTTAAAGAAAATACATAGGTACGTGACTCAATCTGATTTAAAAAAAGTGTTAAAGAATGTGGTAGTTAAAAAATATTTTTTTTTAATTATTTATTCATGGCACAAGGTTCATGTAAACACAGTTACAGTGAAGAAAACCACAGGTGGTATATGTATCACTGCCAACAAAAAAAAACAGGTATCAAATACTATTGCTGTTTTACCTGAAACTAAAACAAAGAAAACAGTAACATTTTGTGCGAAAATGTCTGCATTAGTTAGGAGAACAGTGTCGCAGCCAGATTTCCATCAACGGACAAGACAAGACCAAACAAAACAAGAAAAGGACTAGGGTCCCAATTCAGCTGTATTTTAATGTTTGTGACCTCAGAACGCTGTCATTTGTGAATAGATTTGGAAAATCGATTACTTCCTGTGTGATCCCATTCAGATGGTGTAGAAAAAAATACCCCCTAATGGTGGTAAATTAAGAAATGGGTCCCAATTTCTTAATTTACCACCTTTAGGGGGGTATTTTTTACAGTCCAAACTCAAATTCAAAATATCTCTTATTCATTAGTTTAAAAAAATATATATTTGAAATCTTCTTAGATTCGTCGAAAATCAACACACAAAATAGCAACAATCTGTTTTGTCAAATAAAGGGTCTACCAATAGGGATGACCTAGTTTTGACAGCTCATAGCGGCCATATTTGATGATGGATCTTTGACGTCTCTTGACATTTGTGTTCAGTAAGGTTTGCCATTTTATCATGTCACGTTTCACTTTAAACCAACGCTTGGAAATTGTCCAAAACTTCTTTGAAAGTGACGAAGGAAACCCTGTTACTGTGAATGGCGAGCGCTATAACTCGATGTTAACCGAATATTTCTTTCCGGCATTTGATGATATTGATGCAGACGACTTTTATTTTCAACAAGACGGTGCACCACCTCACATAACTCGAGTGAACATGGAATTATTGCGTGGAAAGTTTGGTGAGTCGTTAATTTCGAGAAATTGGACCGATCAGTTGGCCACCAAGATCGTGTGATTTAACACCTTTAGACCATTTTCTTTGTGGTTACTTTAAATCTAAAGTGTACAGCAATAATCCAGCTACAATTCGTGACCTAAAAACCAACATTCGACGAGCCATAGCCGACATACCATCATTTGGCCGATATATTATTTAAAACATAAATTGCATAAAATTATCTATCAAACAAATCAATTTTTCAAAAAAAAATTGTGTGTTTTATTCAATTTTAAAAAAGGAAGTTAATCCCGCCTGTGCCGGTCTACAACCGCCCGTTTCCATTGGGTGAAGCCTTATGAGAAGAAAGGGCAAACAAACTGAAGGTCACTCTTTTTTAATTACAGTTAAATACAGTCGCATCATTAACAACATTGTTCTGATGTTTGTCAGTTATTGAGAACTAAAAGGTAAAAGCAATGTCATCAAATCAAATCATTAGGCGGGCGCAGTGAAGTCGGTGATACTTTTTTTTATGTTAGAGCAGACGGGTCACCTGATGGAAAGTGATCATCGCCACCTATGAATGTCTGCAACTCAGGAGTCATAAACGTGTTGCCGGCCTTTTAAGAAGGAGTACGTTCTTTTCTTGAAGGTCCGAAATACAGCAGACGATAACTCGTTCCACAGATAAGTTGTGCGAGCTAAAAGTGTCTCGAAAAGCACACATTAGTGGAGCGTCAACTATCCAGGTGATGGGGATGAAAATTAGGTAGTATGAAACGTTGGCGAGTTGCGGGCGGTATTAGTCCGAACAATTTCTCGGAGCACTCTCCATGATATGTGCAATAGAGAATGCAGTTTGATCCACAAATCTGTGGTGCGAGGTGCAAAAAGATTATTGAAAAGCCAAAAGTGGCGGACTGCTATCGTTACAAATGATGGTATTTGTTTTTGGTTTTTATATTAAATTAGTAACTTAACAAAAGTACAAAACCGCCAACTGCTTAGTTTTGTAAAATATTCTGTGGTAATGTAAAAGTCTGTCTGAATTAGTCGTTTTAGAAAACTCTCCATGATATGTGCAATAGAGAATGCAGAGTGAAACCGCTCCAAAGAGATGTTTGGGCTATCGACGATTAGAGTCAATAGCCTAATATTTTCAAAATTACTTGTAGAAAACTATAAGATCGTAGTAAAATATCTGATTAGGCATATTGAATCAACTTTCTTTTTTTTATTGTGGAAATGTGCCCACGTACAGATTTTTATCATACATGTTGCACGACCGTGTGGTAACGGTTGGGACATAATCACGCTACTTGATGTAACTCAGTCATTTTATCTCAAGGCTGTAGTTGATCAGTTCGTAATTACTGTGTTCAGACTGTTTTCAGGGATAATGCTATTAACTTTGCCTTGGTCGTAGTATAATGAGAGCTTTATTAAATTCTTGCAACGAATACAATGACATGCAACGAACGTACTCTAACGCCATCTAGCGGACACAAGCGGACCTACTAAGTAATTCAAAAATATAGATATTGCATCATATCATCACATCAATCACATCAACAGCCTTTAATAGTCCTCTGCTGGATAAAGGCCTCTCCTTAGAAAGGAGGTTTTTACTCTACATCGCTGGCCAGACGGGTTGGTATAGGGTTTGTGTCAGGTTTTCGTTCTCTTTGCAGTGCTATTGTCCTGCGTAGTTTGTTCCCTTAGTCGGCTCTTGCGACACCCAGGTGATGAGTAGGGGTGGTGACACTCCATATTCTTAATCCGTCACCACACACGTCATACTGCATCACACATGTTGAATTAACAATCTTTAAAACCGGGACAAATACTGTGCAATGAGCACGGTTATTTGTTCTGTGTCGAGGTGTAACTTATTTTAATAAAAATGCTTAGAAATGTGTGCGCTCGGCCGTCGAAACTACCCCTCCGGGGTAAAGACTTGAATGTATGAATGTAATATGCAACTAATTAGATTGCTACACTTTTTGTAAGTACATATTATCGACAACGAGTTTCTAACAGTATTTTATCTGATATTATGTTTAATTAATATATACTAGTGATAATAAACGTTAAAAATGGATAAACACAATCAGTAGTAATAATATGTACTATTAATTAATTAACTATGCTGATTAAAATTAATTGCTAAAGCAAGGGTATGTTTTCTTTTTTTTTCATTTAAATAGACAACTCCAGCATTATTAATATATCCTGTATCACGGGGGACTTTACAAACATACATGAAACGGACACAAAGAACACCCAGACTCAGAACGACAATTTGTTACAAAGTGTGGACAGTTTATTTACATAGGCTATTGGAGTATAAACTTTATGCCTACGTCTCGTGGTAGGCTGATTGTCCATATCAATTATCAATCGCTATCCTTATGTAAAAGAAAGAAGAAGAGCGAACATAAAAAAAACCGATAAAAAAGACCACTAAGAGACTAGAAGCTTAAAAATCAAACTCTTAACAATTTGGAGAAAATATTTTACCCGATCGGAGTTCCCTAAAAACACATTCAGTTTTCAATACAATAATTATTTAACTAATCAGTATGAACGCAGCCTGAGGTTTATCACTCATTTCGTTATAAAAGTAGAATTCAGGGATTATAAGCGAGTCCTTTGGGCAGTTGTGTTATGTTTAACACAATGACGCTCCTTTCAACGGCTTTTGTTTTAATTTTGAGCATCACTTTTACATCTAGCTATGTATTATCAAGTAAGTGAATATACAACATTTCAATTTAAGTTTTATTTCAGTTGTAGTCGATTATATGTCATAAAACTTTTAACTGTGATAGGAGTCTCTTCATACATAAATAAAATAGATATTTTTATAATTAAGAGGTTTCATTGAAAGAAAATATAATGACTTACCCACCATTTCTAATTTGCAATTCGCCGTTTAGTGGTAGCGGCCATCTTGGATTTATAATGGCAACATATATTGTAAAAACAACTACTTCAGATATTATTGGCGTTTACCCCTAAACTTCCACAGTGAAAGGGCTTTCAACAATAACCAGTCTTTCAATGGAAAAACGTCCCAATTAGTGCAAATGTGACCATGGTTGACGCCTGGTCTTCTATTCCTCGCATTCATAAATGCAAGTTATGTTTGGTTCTTTTGGTTCCGTTAATAACGTCCTCATTCTAAGCCACAGGCACCGCATAGGGATGCATAGCATACTCATTACCATGACAACCCGCTGAGATACATTAAGTTTATTACTCTCAAAATAGGTGTTCATTTCTTTGTCGTAGTTACCTCGCGTCAGGAGAAACGGAAAAAATTAAAGATCTTCAGATCAAAGAATGAATATTTATGGATTTTATATTTTCAGCTGCAGATGATGAAGAACCTACCATAGAATGGCCCACCGAATACCATTTCGAAGGAGAAATGTTGGATTTGGTATCATCGACAAAGAAATCTTTTGAAGTATGGTGAGTATTTTATTACTTTCCAGTTACGTCTGCGGTTCACCCTCGTAGAAGTTACTTCGTTAGACTAGGAATTTCTGCGGTTGCCCGTTAAAGGGTATTCTGTAATACGTGATTTATTATAAAGTTTGCCTGTAAGTTTGTTAAGGATAGTGTTTCATAAATGATGGAGGTAACCAATAACAGATACAACAAAGCTAATATGGATATGCGGGTTAACTTGGGTGGATGAGATCCGAAATCAGTATATTCGTGGAACCCTGGGAGCTCACATTGCAGAGAAGCTGCTAGAGAGTAGCATGAAGTAGTATGGGCAGGTCAGGAGGACACCATTTGATTATGTTGGAAACTAGGCACTAAAACTGTCCGTTCCAAAAGCATGCTCTATAGCAAGACCCCAAGATCACATGGACAGATGTGATACGGAGAGACATGAAGACATGCAATGTTTCAGAAGACGACGTCATAGACAGAGCGAAGTGGAAGACGTATACATAGAGGGCTGACCTCACTACCATATCCGACAAAAAGTCGGGAAGAGAGAGGACACAATTGAGAACCGAATTTTATTTTGATCGTTTGGAAATGTTCAAAGATTTTTGCTATATGGTGATGTAGCAAAAAAATTTGAAGATTTCTTTAATGTAGTGACATTATAGAGAGAGAGAGTGGGCTATTTTTTAAATTCTGAACTTAATTGGTGCTAACAGGTACAGTGCAGAGCAGAATCGTTCACGAGAGGATTACTTTGGAGGTAGCTCAAAAACTTTCTTCTATGCTGACGAGGGCCACAAGTATTCGGTAAAGTAACTGGACTAATTTATATCCATAATCTTATTTTTCCAAATACTTTTTCAATAATTTGTATAGTTTTCTTACCATTTCTTTCAATTTAAGTAAAACAAAACAACAATCTAATGGCTTTAAGTATTTGCTTGGATTTTTATTTCATGTTAAATGCAAATAGAAGGAAAACTTGAAACAAACCCTTTTTTTTTTTTTTTTTAACGTGTGGAAATCCCCTCGGACCGTCACCCCTCCGGGGTTTGCGGCGGGGTGGTGTGTCGGACTCGGACCGACTAAAACCACACGGTGTGCCACTCTGCGCCTGTAACAGGAGGGATCCGGGAACAGCTGTTGTTAAGACATTGCGGGCCCCGTCTCAAAATTATCCTCTCTTTAGGCGACGTCCGGCACACGCGTACGCCGCCCCCTCGCGGCTGGCCAAACTAATGCGGGTGGAGGGGAAACCCACCCCGTCCACCCGCGGCCACACTCAGGGCGGCATGAGGCGGTGATAGGCGCGCCTCCGCTGCCCGGTTGGCCGGCGGCGGATCGCGCCGGCGCGAGATTACTTCCTCGCAGAAGGTTGCGACCGCGGTAAAACAACTCGCACCTTTATTCATAAACTGAATTAACTAAGAATTTCAATATTGTGGGAAATCGCATTTAAAGTTTGACATTCATGTACGTGCGAGTTCGTCAAAAAGAGAACGACGATCTCTTATCTCTGCCATTTTCATGGTATCGAGTCGGCTGTTGGATTGTTCGTGTTCTACTGATGAAGTTGATTTGGTATTTGTTGAAAACTCGAAAAACGTAAATTTTGAATTAATTCAGTTTATTATTAAAGGTACGAACTGTCGCTACCGGCCGCGGAGCGTACTACGGCCGGTAGCGAGAGATCCACTCCGATGACTGCAGTGAGCGGCCCGGCGCTGCGTCGCCCATGCGGGGCAGACCGCTAGCGTGTGCTGGGCCGAGTCCTCACTGCAGTCGCAGTGATGGCAGGCGGGACTCAGTTCCCTCCTAGCGACCGAGTGCAGGTACTTTCCGAAGCAACCGTGCCCGGAAAGCACCTGCGTCAGCCGGAAGGAAAGGGTCCCGTGCTGCCGCCCTGCCCACTCGGCGATGACCGGCTGGAGAGCCTCCACGGCGGCGAAGCGAGCGCGTGGAGTCTCCAGCCGGAACGACCAACGAGCCATCGTGGCTCGGCGAGCGGCTTCGCGCCACTCGCGCACATCCTCGGGCGGAGAGCGAAATCCGCTCTCCACCCGGGAGTCAGCCACTCGCCGATAAACTTCGGCGAGCACTTCCGCCTCCAAATCCCACGGGGGAGTTCCGGCCAACGCGCATGTCACCTCCGTCGAAACGGTGCGGTAACCGCGTATGGCTCTGACCGCCATTACCCTCTGAGGGCGCCAGAGGCGTGCCCTATTCTGGGTGGTCAGAGCCGCCGCCCACACCGGTGCACCGTACAGTGCCATTGACCGGACAACCCCCGTGTACAGCCGTCTTGTCGCGACGCTGGGTCCACCCAAATTGGGCAAAAGTCGCCCTAGGGCAGACGCAGCGCCGACCAGCTTTGGAGCAAGCTGTCGGAAGTGCTCGTCGAAGAGCCACCTCCCGTCGAGGATCAGGCCCAGATATTTCATCTGGGCCCGAACCGGTACGAGGACCGAGTTGACCACGATTGAGGCGCCAGGGGGTGGACCACGACGGGGCCCATGAAATAACAGGGCCTCCGTCTTATCTAGGGCCACCCGTAAGCCCAGCGCCTCAATGCGCCCGACCACCAGGGAGAATCCCCTTGCGGCCAGGCGCGCCGCCTCTTGGAAGTTTGCCCCCCGGGCTGTCACCAGGGTATCGTCTGCGTAACAGATTACATCCAGCCCGGGGGGGAAATCGGCGCGAAGGGCCCAGTCGTACCCTATGTTCCACAAGAGGGGTCCAAGAACAGACCCCTGTGGAACACCGCACGACATGGGCCGACACCTCAAATTACCCTCTCGGTCCTCGTACACGACGGTACGCTCCTCTAATTAGTCTGCCACTAGCCGCCTCAGGTACTTTGGCACCCCATGATAGTGGAGTGCTTCCCTGATGCAGCTGAATGGCAGACCATTGAATGCGTTGGCGATGTCTAATGACACCGCCAACAGCACGCCGCCACAGCTCACGGCCTCTTCGGTCACGGCCCTCAGGCGCAACACGGCGTCGACTGTCGAACGCCCCGCCCGAAAACCAAATTGGGCGTCCGACAGATCGGGGCCCACCTCGTAGAGGTGCCGGACGATGCGGGCAGAAAGAACCCTCTCAAACAATTTACCCGCCTCGTCCAGCAGCACGATGGGCCTATAGGCCGCGACCGAATCGGCAGGCCGTCCCGGCTTCCTTAATAGGACCAGCTTCCCGCTCTTCCAGCACTCAGGGAAACGTCCCGACGCCAAGCTAGCGTCGAACACCTCCCCGAGGCGGTCTGCCATGTGGTTGAGGGCCAGGGCCAGCACTCGGGCCGGTACCCAGTCTGGCCCAGGGGCGGTGTTCTTGGAACGGATCCGTAGAACAGCCGGCCCTACCTCCGAATCCCGGACGGGCGGAACTTGAAACAAACCCTATGCCAACCCTTCTGGCCAGCATGGTATAGTACGCATAAACCATATTTTTTAAAGAGAGGCCCATGTCCAGCAGTGGACTACTAAAGGCTGTTTTATTATTATCATTAACAACTACAGATGGGGTTTGACGAGTTTCCTTCTACCATAATTTTAGGCAGCCAAAAATTATTTAAACGAAATATTGACAAAGTATTCCAAAACTTTCTGATTCTGTTTTAGATTTGTAAAGTTAAAATCTTGAAATTTTTTTTACTGCCTTTTTCGTTTAATGTTTGGTGATCCTGACTGCTGCGCAAGGGGATGTAATTTGCATACAATATGTTTATATTAATCATGGGCGTAGCCATTGGCTCAGGGTGGAGCTGAAGTCTAAAATATATATATATATTTTTTTTTTTTTTTTTTTTTAATGTTTGGTGATCCTGCCTGCTGCGCAAGGGGATGTAATTTACGCGGTTGTACCCTGGTTTATTTTTTCATACAAAAGGTTACACCCTATAGCACCCTGTATCTAAACTTGTATGTATAATTCGAATTATCCAAAACACTTTCTTATTGCTCACCTACTTACACCACGAAATCCACCATCCAAAAATGTGTCCCTAACCTCAGCCGTTTGGGCTCTGGGCGTATGACAAGTTAGTACCTAGATCATTTCTTTTTTTAGGTTTGCTTAGGTACCTTCACGTCAGAGCCCCACCGTGGCTACGCTCATGATATTAATTAATATATAAGTATGTAAATCAGCAGTCTGATTACCATAGCACGGGCTCTACCTAGAATTTCTTCATACGGCCGTTTGACCTGTCTGATTATTCTTATTAGTCATTATTGATGAAAGTTTAAAATGACGAAAGCAACTTAATCCTTTTTCGATTAAAATACAGGTATTCTCGAAGACTGACAGCGACATGAAAATTGAAACTGCTTGTTGGCAATTAAACTTTACTTACGAGACACCGATGATGTTTTTGCCTGACGAATCTTCGTTCACCTACACAGGTACTTATAGTAATTAGAATTAATTGTTCTATAATTTTATAGGTGCTAGGCAGCTATGACGTGAAGCCTTTGTTGTATCTTTTAAATACGAAAAAAGCTAGAAATACCTTTGAATAAGTGTTAAATTAGCAAAGTGCCGTGTTGTGTAGAAATAGAAGCTCAAAATCGATCTAAGTTGCGTGCAATGGGAGAGGCCTATGTCCAGCAGTGGACTACGATAGGTTGATGATGATGATGTGTAGAAATAACCTCAATCACAAACTTATTAAATTAAAAATAATCTGTATCTATCTTTCATTTCGTTTTTCTGCAAATCTGTGTTAATGATTTCGTGAAAAGGAATGGAAGTGAAGCATTCGTTTTTTGATTTTATCGATTGAGCACCGTAAAGATAATATAATAGAGGGAGTGACTGTACATTCCTCTGTAAGTGCTAGCGTACGGCCGTTAGACAGAGAAAGAACATTGTTTTGGTCTTGCATCTCTCTCTTCTCTCTGCACTGATTGGCTGATACCAAAGAGGGTATTTAAAATAGCCAATCAGTCACAAGATCGACACACAAGTTCGTTCGTTCGGTTCGATCCACAAGTCCATGTAGTGACGGATTAAGAATACGGAATGTCACTACCCCAATTCGTCCCGTGGGTGTCGTAAGAGCCGACTAAGGGCGCAAAACAACGCAGGACACCAGCACTACAAAAAGAAGGAAAACTTGACACAAACCCTATACCAACATGTCTGGCCAGCGTGGTATAGTAGGCCAAAACCTCCTTTCTAAGGAGAGGCCTATGTCCAGCAGTGGACTATTAAAGGCTGTTGATGTGATGATGATGACAAATTGTTGTTCTAAGTCTGGGTGATCTTTGTGTCCGTTTCATGTATGTTTGTAAAGTCACCCGCGATACAGAATATATTTGTAATGCGGGAGTTGTCTTAAAAAAATGGTATTATTGGTAAACCACTTTTACTTTATACCTAGTAGATAAAGTAACCTTGTGTTATTCTATGTTATTCTATTACTATTTTAGTCACAATTTCTAAAAATAAAACTTCTAGCATTTTTATACAAATGCAGTTTTTAATATGATTTTAGGAAGTTTTCATTCGAAACAAGCTGAAGTTTCTGGAGCCAATAATTGGGTAATTTACTCTAAATTTTAGGTAAAAGGATGATCCTATTCGACAAATTGGTGGATGTCTGGAGCAATGATTATGATATGGATGGTAAACCGGTGCAGAAAATGACACTTTATGTCTACAAAACAACTAACGGTGTTGATATTCCTGTACAGTAAGTACGCTGTTGTTCTTACTCGAATGCGCAAAAAAGAGAGTTATGTTTAAAGAGTGTATATTGAGCCGTGGCCTAAATGGTTACATGGGTTTCGAATTGAGATGTATCGTCAGATTCATTATTGAAGAGTGACATATAAAAAAATGTCGGTTTATGGTGCCGTTTTATATGGCGGCTATCAAAAAAAAGAGTTTCATGAATATCTTACAGAAATATATTATATATAACTGGAGAAATGATTACAAAGATACAAAACACAGGAATCAAACCGGCAAAACAAAAATCCTGATTGATTTGTTTAATAGCGTTATTTTTTAGAATCTGGTGTGAGAGTGGATCGTTCGTGAAATAGAGTGTAGTTTAAGTTTAAAACTAGAAATTTATATAATCAACAGAGATTATTTCCTAGTTGTTTCTGAAAAGCCATTTTAATCTTTATATAGTGTAAAATCCATTTTATGTTTTACGTCATAAAACCTAAGTTTTTTTTTAAGGTATAAGGGGGAAAACGAGCAGACGGGTCACCTGATGGTAAGCAACTACCGCCGCCCATGGACACCTGCAACTCAAAAGTCACAGGTGCGTTGCTGCCTTGGAGTCCCTCCCGCTCGATTCAGCGGTTCAACCTTATTTAAGCAAACCAAAAAAATAACAATAGTTCGCAACGAAAATGAAGTTTAGAGACACCGTTCGAAGCCGGTGCGATGTCGGTCGCTAGTCAAATGAGTAAATGGATTTCTAATGTTATATATTATTTAAAATCTACTTTTTAATTTAGCTCTTATATTATCGTTTATCATAAAAGAGAAGTATACAGAGAAGTATACATAAAATAAAAGTACACAGAGTAGATACTATTTTTTAACAGAACGAAAGAATGGAGAGTAGAGATAAATAATAGGTATCATAACTTGACAGTGATTGGTCTCTGTACTGCGACATAAATGGGCCCTGTCTACTACCTACACCATTTATTCATCATCATCGTCATCAACAGCCTTTAATAGTCTACTGCTGGACATAGGCTTCTCCTCAGAGAGGATTCATTATCAACCGTTTATTTTCTAACTCAACTCCCAATTCCAGGGTTGTATATAAGTTCTACAACACAAACACTGGCGAAATCGAGGGCAACACTGTCACCAATTTCTACAGTTTTAGGGATTTGGTTTCCAAAGAGGATCTGGAAGTTGAAGGTAAATCAAAAAATTGCTAAAGTAATTGCTAAAGCAACAGTGTGTTTGTTTGTTTGTGTGTGTGTGTGGGTGTGTGTGCGTGTATGTGTACGTGGTGGGTACGTGCTGTGAGTTAATGCTTTTATGGTTGGATTGGGGTAGTGTAAGTTGTTTTCTTAGATTCCCTAGTGGTATGGGGAGGGTAAAAGAAAAGGGGAGGTTTTTGATAACATTACTCACTAGATGAAATGCAAGGAAAGAATTGGTTAACCCCATTTTTCCTATGCTATCACTCTGGTATAGCCAACCCAGATGTGTAGAAGCTATGCCATGTTATTAATCATTATTGTATTTTTTTCTTGCTTAGCTACTAACTGCGAAGTGCCAAACCCAGATTCAGAATTGACAAATATTGGAGCAGTACCCCTCTCTGCGGGTCACTTAGACAGCATGTTCGAGAGTTATACTAATTACCACAACAAAAAATACCAGAGACACGAGAGAGAGATGAGGAAACGCATCTTCAATGATAATTATCGGTATTTTTTTCATATTTTAAGTGTCCTCTGGCGTGATGGCGTCACCGCTTCCTATTAACGCTTTGTGTGATCCACAAATTGTTTTTTTCCATCCTGGGTGTTCTTTTCTTTGTGCCCGTTTCGTGTATCTTTACGAAGTACCTGCGATACAGGATATATTCCTATTGCAAGAGTTGTATTTTAAAAAACAAATCAAGCCAATGATAGCATCTGTACTGTAGTACTAAGTTGTAAGTATCAGTGTAGGCTTGTAAGTATCAGTCCCCGCCAACAATATTACTGCCATACCTGGCGTGTGTGAGGGGCTCCAGAAAGGACCGCTGAACGGGAACGGGAAAAGGCTGATCCCAAGAAGACATCGGCGACGATATCTTACGACGTCGGTGTTATTTTTAGTGGAAACATCACATACTCTTGGATCCTGTGTCCCCAAGAAGCGGGAGATTTTTTAGATCGTCACCAAAAAAAAAAAAAATTCAAGATAATTTAAATTACGAAAACAACACTAAAATAATTTGTTATATTGTTAATTGTGTTATTAATTGAAAAAGTTATGAGCTCAAGTAAAATGAATCATTGCCATAGGATAATACTACCTTAATTTCAATTTACTAAAAATGAAATATAGAAATACAATAAAATAATGAATATTAATGATGTAAATAAACAAATCTCTATTGTTTAGGAAAGTACAAGAACACAATAGCAAGAACTTAAAATTCAAAATGGAGCTGAACGCTTTCGCCGACTGGACTCCTGAAGAACTGAAATACCTGACTGGAACAAGAGTTTCAGAAGAGCTGCCCAAAGAAGCCTTACCTTTCCCTCATACCTTAGAAGAGATAAATGATATTATTGATCAACTACCCCAAAACTTCGATTTAAGAATAGAGGGTGCCGTTAACCAAGTTAAAAGTAAGCTTTTTAATGGTATAGGAAACGAACGAAGGGATGGGTCACCTGACCATAACCCTGCAGCTCAAGAGTCCCCCCCAAAATCAGTACAAAGGGGAGTGTTTGGACTCCGGTAACCTCACTAACTCAGTTAAAAGTAATAAAAGAACTAGTTAACATTGGTTTTCTCTGAGGCCGTGGCATCGCTACTCAGCTTAACCCATATGTCTCGAAGCATGACTCTCATACGGTAATACGATTGTAATTTACATAGAAACTATAATAATATTTGACTTTACGTATGGCGTAGTCGGTACCTCGCACATGATGGCTGTTGCTCATATGCCGTCTGTATGGACAGGCCGACTCAAAACTTAGAACCTTTCTTTAAAAGGCCTACCCAGAACTTTATTTTTTTAATAGGAGGGATTCGACATGAGTAAAAGACAAACCTATTTTGGACATTGTGGATGGAAATATTGTGTGTATAATTTTTTTTGGAGAACATTAAGATACCATGCCGATTTCTGGCTGTTTTAGACCAAGGTACGTGTGGTTCGTGTTGGGCCTTCGCAGCTACGGCAGCAGTAGAAGGTGCTCTCGCCAAAGCCAATGGAGGCCGACTGCTAGATCTTAGCGAGCAATCGCTTGTTGATTGTGCTTGGAGGTTAGTGTATTTACTTTGTCTAAATACAACACGCAACCGTAGTATCTGCTTGATACGTAGTCCATTTCGGGAATTGATTCACGACTTTCCGAACATTTTTGCACGATTTTTCCAGTAACAATTTCTTTAAATCTAATATATAAAATTCTAGTGTCACGGTGTGCGGGGTTGAACTACTCCGAAACGGCTCTACCGATTTCCGTGAAATTTTGTGTGCATATCGAGTAGGTCTGAAAATCGGCCAACATCTATTTTTCATATCCCAAATTATTTGTTTTTTTTTGTCATTTTTTTTTAAATAATGTATATGGCAAAACAACGTTTGCCGTGTCAGCTAGTATAATATAACAACAAAGAGATAGGCGTGACATTTGACATCTGACCTAGTATCTAACGACCAACTCTGGCAATGCGTGTTGACATTGATCAAATCTCCCGAAAGGAAACTGGATAAATTAAAATAGCATTAAAGAAAATGTCATGTCACAGTTGGTCTAGTTGCTCAAATATTTAATTTGCTTCGCAGTGAAGGTGCATTTGGGTGTAATGGTGTCAAAGAATTATCCCATGCTTGGAAATATGTACTTCGAAGTGGTATACCTACTGAGAAAGACTACGGAGTTTATCTTGAAGAGGTATACAACTTAATTATTTTTCAACTCGGGTAAATCTCAAAAGTTTGTTAGTAACTGCGTCACTTTTGAACAGATTTCAATAAAAAAAACGTTTTTTTTTTATATTGGAGGCAAGGCTATTACAGGGCATTCTACGAATCAAATTAAAAACTTAAAAGTGGTTTGAAAAGAAAGCTAGGTAATGAGGGAAGGTAATGGTTGTAAAAGGATACTGCTTTAAGGAATTATGAGGGAATAGCAGATATAGAACTGGTCATTACCGAAAAGTCAGAAATTACTCCGCCAACTTAACTTTTAGTTGAGTTAGGGATTATTCATTAGGAACTTGTAGTCACATGGCCCGGGTGAGGACCAGGACTATGTGATTTCAATTCCCTGGTGAGGTCCAGAGTATTGCACCTGATGCCGGCCGTTGCGTTGGTTTTTAGTGGAAACACCAAGGAGCCGAAGATTCGAAGAGATTTTTCACAAAATAAAAAAGTAATAATTCCTTATTTTTGTAAGGACTATTTTGGTTATATAGATGTTTCTTACTGTCGATCATCCAAACAATATGGTTTGTAATTGTGATATATATTTTAGAACTGCCTATTTTCAGGACGGGATTTGCCACATATCAAACGTGTCTACAGTATACAAAATTCAAGGGTTTGCTAAAGTCACTCCAAGGAATCCAAATGCGTTAAAAGTGGCGCTGTACAAATATGGACCTGTTAATATTGCTGTTCAATCTACTTCCTCTATGTTCTTTTATTCCAGCGGCCTGTTTTATGATCTCTATTGGTGAGTTGACATGTAATTATCGGAGTCAGAGTAAATGGTTAGTTGACTTCCCCATTACAGTATGGACATTGGTACTCTTCCAACTATTGCAAACTCTCCTTACCTTAGATCCTTCCCCATTCTTGTTACTTACCCCTATCGCAATAATTATTTACCCTTTTCTTTTCCGAAAGTAATAACACTTTGCACATCAATGTCTAGTGCACTTAATCACACATTTTAGCACCACCCTAAGGTAGACTGGGAGAAAATGCCAAAAACGATTATCGTTAAACAGGCTGCCAGCCATAAAAATGTTACACATTAGACCCTAAATAAAATTGGTAGGATGAACACTACACTCGGCTACGCAGAACTCACTTGGATCAAATGCAGAGTGTGTAATGAAAGGTCAGGCCGGAAATAACAGAAATGAGCAAACATTTACGAAATGTTTAATAGCAATAGAGGTATAATAATAATAATAACCTCACACATCTCACACACAGCCGTCTGGTCCCAAACTAGGCTGAGCCTGTACTATGGTAACCAGACTGCTAATAAACATACTTATATATTTCTAAATACATACATATTATACATAAAGTACACCCAGATACAGAACAAATGACTGTGTTCATCACACAACCTCCGGTTTAGCAGTCAGGGTCACTAACCACTAGACCAACAGGCTCGTCATGGTATCTCGTGAGGTATGAATAGAAGGAAACGAGAAACGGGAATTATGTCTCTTCCTACTGACTAACGACGCAACGATGGAGAATTCAACCATGAGTAAGGCTTCGGGTTTGATAGATAGATAAAAAACTCTATATTTGTACACCGCTTTACAAAATAGTATAGTACATAAAAAAGTAAGAAATGTAATGTACCAAAGGCTAAGAGCAATCAGGCAACCTTAGAATGGATCAAAATATTTCGGAGAGACAGTACTAGTTGAAGATGCAATGAGTTTTGATAGGTTAAATGCTAATGAATATAAAACCAGTAAAATTAGATGAATATAAACATTTAAACACATATTTATATACCAAAAAATATATATACCAATACACATAACTATAAGCACTTAAGTGTATCACAAAAAAATAAATAAAAGAAAAACACATCATGCCTTAATAGGTAACTGATTTAATAAGATACATAACATTCTTAAACCATTTTTTTAAACTGTTTGTTGCTTTCGCACACCTGATGTTTATCGGCAATGCATTCTACAAGCTAAAGGCCATAAATATATATATGTGTTTACATGTGTAGTATGCACTGTAGCATTTATACTTTCAGTGTTAATACCCGCTTGGCTTAAGGAAAAAGATTTCTCTGCTTCGGTATTTAATGGATGGCCTATAAGATAGGATTCTATCCAGATTTTCTGTCCGCTCTATGAGTTTTCTATGATCCCTTGCAATAAGTGTGTAAAATGTTATAATGATTGGTTGGATAGGTTAAAAGTAAAAGTATATGAATAAATATACACCATTATATGTAACACTATTATCTTCAATAACGGGCTAAAATGATTCAAAGAGTAGTATAGCGCAGTGTCTCATTTTTTTAAATTTTTCTTCTCTTTTCTGTTCAGTGACCCTAAAGAGCCGGCGCCTAATCACGCTGTAACCGTAATCGGCTATGGAACCCGTGATGGTGATGACTACTGGATCGTCAAGAACTCCTGGGGAGAGAGCTTCGGAGAAGACGGCTACATTCTCATGGCAGCCGCAAATAACAACTGCTTTGTTATGGATAACGCTTACTATGCTGTAGTTTAATTCTTACATCTTTTAAATAAATTCCACGTGCTTTTGAATGGTTTTCTTTTATTTTCGTCTAATGGTGGTACATACTGTAATATCTAACTCTCGTAAATATATCCACTAAACTGTATCATCAATTATCATCAACAGCCTTTAATTTTCCACTGCTGAACATAGGCCTCTCCTTAGAAAGGAGGATTTGGCCTACTATACCACGCTGGCTATACCGGTTGCTATACGGTTTATATCAAGTTTTCCCTTTCTTGGAGTGCTGTTGTCTTGTGTAGTTTGCCCCCTTAGTCGGCTCTTACGACGTCCATGGGATGAATAGGGGTAGGGACACTAATATTAATCAAATACTAGTTCTTTAATAGTATATTGGCGTAGGTTAAGACGAAATTAGTTAACGTGAATAACCCATGTTAATTTAAAAAAAATAAGCAGAATTATACCTGAAAGATCTTTTGCAACCGTAAAACATTTAATACCCTATTTATTTGTTTTTTTAAATTATAAATATTGTGGCGTGCGTTTTTCAATGAGCCCGTTACTGGAGTAGGGCTACAGATATGAGGCGAGATATCAGATGTAAAACATCATAACACTCGTATGCGAATAAGGCTCGCTAGTTTTTTATGCATTATCCATTTTCAAATTCTTTTAGGTTACAATAAGCAATAACATGGAATATTGCCAATATACTTTGTTTGATATTCTACTGAATCAGAGCCATGTTTCGGCGCACATAGGCTGGCTCAACCGGAGCCATATTGAATTCTGGGGAGGTACTTAACTGATTTGAAGCGAAGGTATCTATGGGCGTCAGTATTTGCTTACCACCAGGTGAGGTGTGTTTGGTCGTGTGGCAAATTTATTTTATTTATTATCTATTTATTACATTCTTCATGCACAAATTACAAATTAATTGTACAATGGCGGACTTAATGATAGTGGGACAGATATACAGGGACAGAGATATGTCTGTTTTGCGCTACTATTGCTATATACGAGTATACCACCGTTTGTGCCTTAAGAAGTTCAAGGTCATTTCTCAGTTAAACTCAGTTAAAGATTACGTGCTGGAGATCCATCATTAAGGGTCGAAAATTGAGAAGAAAGTAAACCTAAAATTTTTCCCAACTTTAATAATAATAATAATCTTTATTTATGCAAAAATTTGTTCATAACATATTATTAGACTTACACAAATTACATGGGTACTTAAGTACTAAAACAAAATATCTCTGGCCCCCACACTAGGATTTCCTGTGTCGTGGGGTCCAGTCCCTTCCGTAAGTTTCAGATAGTATTAAAAAGTAAAAAAGTAATGCATTTATTGTGTATGTTGTACAGTTGCTAAGAGAAAAACTAAATATATATCATATAAATATATAAGATAGTGTGTGTGTGTGTGTGTGTGTGTGTGTGTGTGTGTGTGTATGCATATGTGAGTGTGTATGTGTGTGCGTATGTGTGTTTGTGTGTGAGTGTGTGTTAGGGTGTGGGTGTAAGATGGTGCGCGCGTAAAATTAGCTAACAATATTTAGCAGATTTTCTTTATCAGCATAGTCCATAGGTATTAGCCATTTTTGGATGGTGGTTTTAAGGCGGAATGACGTCAGGTTTATTATAGTATTATTATTTTGAAAAATTTGTTGTAAAGATAGGGTCCCATAAATGTTAAAGATTGACGAGCAAAAGCAGAACGAGCCCTTGGTGTGTCCCACTTAAGAGTTCTGTGTGAGGTTCGCACAAGGGTCTTCGCAACCCTATGAAAGCGAAGAAGTACCGAGGTAATATAAAGCTGTCTCACACGAAGGAGGTAATGTTCTGAGTACAGTGCGTTGGTAGGATAACGCCAGGGTTTTTTAAATGCTATTTTTAAAATAGCTCGCTGGCTGCGTTCGAGCTTAAGAAGGTGGGTTTTTTTTGACGCTCCCCAAGCAGTGATACAGTAACCCAAAATAGATTGACAAAGACAGAAATATACAGCTCGAATAAGCAGTGGTTCCGCTACAGACCTTATTTTTTTAAATATGTGAGATAGTTTTCTTACACGTGTCGTTACTGCATCGATATGTGATTTCCACGATAAGTGTTCATCGATCATTACGCCTAAGTATTTTGTGCACGAAACTTGTTCAATAGTCGGGCATTGACATTGCAATGAAGTTAGATGCTTAGCAGACTCACATGTGTGTAGTGTTACGTTTAGACCTTCCTTTGGAGCAGATCTTTTGCTTCTGCTTAAAGCTATAAGTTTTGTTTTGCTTGCGTTGAGAGTAAGTAAATTATTTTTTAGCCAACTGGCTGTACATCTAAGGCCCTCCTGAGCCACATCCACAACCTCTGTCCATGTCTTAGCATGGAAAATTAAGGCAGTATCATCTGCAAAGGTAAAAATATTAGCCTGAGGCAGTTTGAGGGAGCAGAGATCGTTGATGTAGGTCAGAAAGAGAGTAGGACCCAAAACACTGCCTTGGGGCACGCCGTAAGCAATGTCTGCATAACCGCTTGCGTATTTCCCTATTCGTACTCTCTGCCTTCGCTCGCTAAGGTATGATTGAAACCACTGTAACGCTAGTCCTCTAACTCCCAGCAGTTCTAGTTTTTTCAGAAGTATTGGTCGCGAAACAGTATCAAATGCTTTCGCCAGGTCCAGAAAAACACCTACACATTTTTGTCCATCGTTGATTTTATCAGTTACAAAATCAACAAGACCCGTGACGGCATCTTCCGTGGACCTGGCGGAGCAAAACCCATATTGGTTAGGAGCTAAAAGGCTATTCACCTCTAGATATTTAAGAAGCCTCATATTAACTACCTTCTCAATCACCTTAGACATCGTACTTAATAGTGAAATCGGCCTGTAGTTGGCCGGTTCCAATGGATCACCTGCTTTAAAGATAGGTATTACCTCTGCAATCTTTAAATTATTCGGCGCTATTCCCGATGACAAACTAAGATTGCATATATAAGTTATGGGCATCGCGATCACATGTTTATTAAGCTTCAACATATCATTGCTAATGTTATCGTGTCCCGTGGCCCGACTGGATTTCAGCGTATCTATGATTTTAGTAACTTCAATTACATCTGTTGGTTGTAAAAACAGTGAGTGGGCTGATTGATTTGAATTATAGGTAAGACGTGTATTGTTGCCTAATTTAGTTTCCGTTGTTTTCAATTCATCCAAAATTGTCTCGGCCAAACGCACCCCAACTGTACTGAAATAATTGTTTACTGTGTTTATAGAATTTATGGCATCGTCTTCTAATTTTAATAGTTGATCATTTGTATTTTTACATTTGTTTAGATTACAAATCATTTTTAGAGAACTCCAAGTCTTTTTTAGGTTATTTTTATTTTCCGCGAGGAGGTTGTGTTCATATTTATTTTTTTGTTCATGTAATAAGTTAATACAAATATTTCTGTAGGTTTTATATTTATTTTGTAATTCATGATTGTTGGGATTTTTCTTGGCAATAATGTGTAATTTGTCACGAATTCTAATTGATTTTAAAAGACCTGGCGTAATCCATTTCTTTACAATAATATTGGAGCTGCGAAAGTGCTGAGTAGATTTATTTTTTTCAATAAGGCTGTTCATTTTAGAGATAAAATATCGTGTCGCTTCCGTGACATCGGTTATGTCATAAAGTTCCGACCAGTCAAAATGCTTTAAGTCCTCATGTAAGATTTCATAGTTGATTTTAGTAAAGGTTAGTTTAGATTTTTCTTTGTTGACATTTGAGCCAAGGCTACAAAGTACGCTACTATGATCTGTAATATTGGAATGACAGACAATGGTCGTAGACGGCTGAGAGGACTTGATAAAACAGTGGTCTAGGCAATTTTGTCCTCGTGTAGGTATGATATGTCCCGGTACATAACCATAGTGAGCCATCAAGCTTAGATACTCTTCTGCTCGGTTATCTATGGAATTTTCTTTTGTATCAATATTAATATCACCTACCAAGATGCAGTGTTGACTTTTACATTTTTTTATAATTTTTTCCAAAGAAATTAATAAATTGTGTATGTTTTGAAAAGATGGCGATCGATAAACGCAAGTAGGACATCTATCTAGTTACCTCTACGGCCTCATCAGCGTCTAGGCACAGCACACTGCACCTACGGTCCACGTAAGAAGAGCATTTTCTCTCCCGTCTACGCAGCAGCCAGCCACTACGCAGCAACCGCCCCGACTCACTGGGGACTTCACCGCAGCACCGCGCACCGCACGCCATCCCGACTCACTGGGATCAGCGGACTTTAGCCCCGTCCCACTGGGGCTAGCGGCACTCAGTTCCGACTCACTGGAACTAGCGTCACTCAGTTCCGACCCACTGGAACTAGCGGCACTCAGTTCCGACTCACTGGAACTACTCACTACTGGCACTGGCCCGCTCCACAGCAGGGCATAGACAGCTGACTCATCATATATCGACCTCCGGTCTTGGAGGGGAGTGATGTGGCGACTATCACATACAAAGAAACAGGCACATGTTACAGCGCCATCTAATGAAGACACACCGAACTACGGAGTAACTACTAAATAAGAATTGCTAATCCTGTATCGCGATATGAATAATTCCCTCGCCGATTAGCATATATACAATATCCCAACATCAACCGCTGGGCCGCGGCCCGCCAGGCATGATCACCTCGCCTGGTCGGAGGATCCTCCTTTTGTGTTGGAGGGACATGACACCCGTTCCTCCACAGATTAAAAAGAGAATAATAAGAATTGAGGAGATGGAGAGAAGCAGTGGGACAGATATACAGGGACAGAGATATGAGTCTGTTTTGCGCTACTATTGCTATATATACCACCGTTTGTGTCTTAAGAAGTTCAAGGTCATTCTCAGTTAAACCGATTACGTGCTGGAGATCCATCATTAAGGGTCGAAAATTGAGAAGAAAGTAAACCTAAATTTTTGCCCAACTTTAAACATTATTGCTGGCAATAGCCGTCACGGTTACCATAACCAACTACGGTATCCTCGTCTTAATAATATTTGCTATAACTTCTCCCCCAAAAAAATAATGGAAGGGACGTTACAGTACTTTTCAGTTTATTGGTTGATTGACGATTCTGGTTCAGGAGTTGAAACCACGATCACTGATTTTTTTTTTTTTGAGAAAGACAACTTCCTCATTAGGAATATATTCCTGTGTCGCGGGGGACTTTACAAACATACATAAAACCAACACAAAGAACACCCAGACTCAGAACAACAATTTGTGGATCACATAAAGTGTCGTCCCATGTGGGGTTTGAACCCACAACACTCGGCGTAGTAGGAAGCGGCATGGCGATCGTTTAAACCACTACGCCATCCGTGCAGTCAATTACATCTGTCTTGTCGCAGAATCCTAGTGAAGTATGTAGGTAGATCTCACAAGCCCTGATTTATCACAGTATTCTTTATGGCAATAAAGATTACGCTCACATTTCTTGAATGCAGTAGGAAAGTGTAAATTAGAATAAAAATAAATCATTCAATAGCACGTGGAATTTATTTAACTAAATATATTACTTAAACTATAGGATAGCAAGGATAGTCCAGAACGAAGCAGTTGTTGTTTTTGGCCAAAATGAGAATGTAGCCATCTTCGCCCCATGATTCTCCCCAGGAGTTTTTGATAATCCAATAGTCCTCACCATGGCGTTTTCCGTATCCAACAATAGTCACAGCGTGATTAGGTCTTGGGCGATCTGGGTCGCTGGGAGTGATAAAACAGAATATTGTAAGCACTAGAATATTAAACACTTACTACTATAAATTGCATCCCACTGTTCTAATCTGTATCATTATTATAACCATCCTTCCTGCATTTAAGGAATAAGAAATTAGTTGGTAAGAAGGGAAGGCTGCAATTTATCACATTAATACTTGAACTTTTCCACTTTATATCTAGGCCCGTTGTATGTTGGTAATATCCGAAGGGCTAGTCGAAGTGGAAACTCACCAACTCAAGTCATAGAAGAGGCCGTTGGCATACGACTTCATGGCATCAGTAGCTTGCATACCAATAGTTACAGGACCGTATTTGTACAGTGCTACTTTCAACGCGTTAGGATTCCGGGGAGTGACATTTGCGAAGCCCCTGATCTTGTACAGAGTAGTCATATTTGATAAATGGCAGGCACCATCCTGTTGAAAAAAGTGATTTTGTATTGTGGTCGAAGTAATATTTTATTTGTGAAACAAAATATTTGTATATATATATCCTTTTATTATGTTAGATGTACCTTGCATACTGCACATTGTGGTTAATGCAACCAATCAGATATTAGGAACAAAATTGGTGCGAAAAAACATAAAAATAATTTTTGGAGCGGGTTATAATATCGCATCGAAAGAGCTCAATCGATCGAAAACTTTTTAAGTTTTTGAAGCGTACACAAACCAATTTAGTATTTTTATGTATGCAAGGTATACGGGATGTCGGAACGAATACTGAAATAGTGTATCCAGACCATTATTTTGAGATGTAAATTATTGGAACTTTCTGTCGGAAAATAAGACGTTTTATGCAATCAGCTGTCAAACGTTAAGGTCAATCCTCGTAAGTATCGCACAAAAGTAGTAATTACGCGCGCTTCGGCTCTTTGATTAATTACATTGAAGTTTCTGATCATATGCGATATTTAATTTTAAAAATCGGTAAAATGTTCTACTTACTCATTGTCATATAATTTTTAAGATAATTTGGAAATAAATGGTGATGATGAATGGCGATGATGAAATGATTTTTGACGTTGACGATGACGTTGACGATGGTGATGATTTTTGACTGAGAATGATGGTCTGAATACACTATTTCAGTTTTCGTTACGACGTCCCTTATAGGTTATAAGGGCTATAAGCTACTATATTCGTTAAAAGTCTTAATGAATATAGTAGTATAGATATTAGCCTTTATCCTCGGTATCGCGGGGTTAATGTCCATTTCGTAAATCATATTTGCCAACATAAAAAAATGTGCATAATCTATCTCTGTGCCAATTTCATCCAGATCAGTTTACTTTTTCTGGCGTATTTATTTATAATGGTTTGGGAGGCAAACGAACAGACGGGTCAGCGCAGTGGTTGATTGTTTGATAAAATCGGTTTAAGATGGCCGCCGCCACAAAATGGCGGATTACAATTTTTTTCACAACTCCGTCAATATGGGTAGGAAATGAAAGGGCTTGACTAGTAGAATATTATACACTATGACAAAATTTCAAATCCAAGATCGGGGATCGTTTTAATTTTTAATTTAATAACTTATATAATTATAACTTACATGCTCCATGTAAATGCCATACTCTTTTTCCGTAGGAATGCCATTTTTAAGCATATACTGCCAAGCAGTTTCTAGGAAACCACCATCACAACCCAGATTACCTTCACTGCAAAAGAAAGCCAACAATGTGTAATGGTACTGGAATCACTCACTTTAAATCTACTGATAGATATTGATCTTATCCATCGGGATAGTGTGAACTATTTCATATTAACAGAAGTTAATGGTTTTATTACACTTACAAGTGATATCAATCGCACACAAACAAACATTTAGGGAGTAGCAAATACCCATATATATATATATATATAGAACTCTACAGTTCAAATAGATACTAGGAATAAAATAATATTCTCTGGAATCAGTCTATGTTTTTTTTGTTTACATGAAACGGACACAAAGAACACTACACAAAGACTCAGAACAACAATTTGTGGATCACACAAAGTGTCGTCCCATGTGGGGTTTGAACCCACAACACTCGGCGTAGTAAGAAGCGGCGTGGCGACCGCTTAAACCACTACGCCATCCGTGAAGTCTTCGTTTGCTACGTCTGCTAGTCCTAATGCTCTATCCCTTAGTTCTTGAAAAGTTTTATTAGAATATAAATTTGAGTGGCATTTAATTCTGGTATATCAGAGCTTACTTCCAAGCACAATCCACTATTGACTGTTCACTCAAATCGAGCAGTCTATCTCCATTAACTCTGGCAAAAGCACCTTCAAGAGCTGCAGCAGTCGCGAACGCCCAACACGAGCCGCATCTGCCTTGATCTTGACAAACAAAATTGAAATGTCAACAGCAATAAATTGTATTCTGAAGTCGTTGAATAATTTTAGTTCCAGAAAATTCTAAAAAGTCGATATGCAGGTTTTAGTTCCAGATAATATATTTACAAGAGATGCTACAAGTACTACCAAATTCTTATTCTTTTCTATCCCTTTACCTTCTAAAGGCCTTAAAAGATTTTGAATATCGTTAGAATCATTTAATCTTCTCGTGTAGCTCTGGCTATAAAATAAATCGAAACCAACTTGCCACCTGTTCGCCACATAACTAATTTTTTTTTGGCGGGACAATCGAATTTTATTTTTGTAAATTAAATGAGATTATAGCCAGAAAAATATTTAGAAATTAAAAACTTATAACTTAACATATGTACTTAGATAGTTCAGGCTAGAACCAAATAATAAAAACACAAATTGAAAGAAACTGAGGTTAGATCAAAATAATAAACATCAAAAAATTATAACAGTTTTACTTGTGTCACGTCGGTAATGTACTTAGATAGAGTTCGAAACCAGTATCGAGCTTGGGTGTTTAGTGATTAAAACATAACATATTTCATTTTTGAAGGAGTATCATCATCAACAGCCTCTAATGGTCCACTGTTGGATACAGGCATCTCAGAAGGAGTATTATTAATCTAAAATATAACTTACTTTTAACGGGTGTAACAGCTCCTTCAAACCTCAGATCAAAGGTCTCTGGCAGCTGGTTTACAATGTCATCTATTTCTTCGAGTGTGTGAGGGAAGGGCATGGCCTCTTTCGATGGTTGGTTCTGCACCAATAATCCAGTCAAATATTTCAGCTCATGAGGAGTTCTGTCTGAGAATTCGTTTATCTCCATCTTGTAGCTTAAATTCTTTCGATTGTGCTCTTGAACCATTCTAAAAAGAAATTTAATCCGATGGATAAAAGTTTAAATTGTTTTACAAACTTTTTTAGACCTATTCTCAGCCCGAGACTATTTATTACGGTCTATCCGTTTTTCCTACCCAATTGACCTACAGCCAGATAGTAGCAAAACTCCCAATCAAACGTTAATTAAATTTTGAAAAGAACGGGCAAATGACAAACATTTCAAAACAAAAATCAATTTTCAACTTACCGCCAGTTCCGTTCAAAAATACTTTTCCTCATCTGCTTCTCTTTCTCATGGTATTCCTTGCTGTGATGGGTGGCGAAGCTCTCAAATGCAAAGTTCAAATGTTCTGGGACATCAGGGATCAGGTACTGGATATCTCTTTTGAAATTCGATGCAAACATGCAAACGTCGTCTAAGAATAAAAGAATTTGCTGAACAATAACTTAGTAAAACAAACATACATTCATACAGTAACGTCTTTATCTCCTAAGCGGTTGATGAGGCTTCGAGACCCCTTCGGGGATGTCAGCATGAGCGTAAATAATATTTGTGATGTATGTTATAGAAGTGATAACTTTTATTCTAGATATCGAGGTCCAATACACCCTTGAATGTCATTATCAAATGGTATCTTGGTCAGTTTATTTCATTGTGCTTTTATATTGTCTGCACGGATAGTGTTTCACCGTTCATCTCGCCGCTTCCTACTACGCTGATTGTTGTGGGTTCGATCACCACATGGGACAATACTTTGTGTGATTCATAATTGTTGTTCTGAGTCTAGGTGTTGCTTGTGTTCCTAAAGTTCCCCGAGACACAAGCTACATTCTGAATGCGTCGGGTGCTAGATCTCAATTGTTGTAAAAATATTTTATTGACAGATAAAATTATATTATCACGCTTTTTTAACGATAAAATGATTTTTCTTTTTGAACTTATCATCATCATCATCATCAGCCTATCGCAGTCCACTGCTGGACATAGGCCTCTCCCATTGCACGCCACTAAGATCGATTTTGGGCTTCTCGCATCCAGCTCCTGCCAGCCATCTTGCGCAAATCGTCACTCCACCTGGCCCGTGTGGGCGTCCTACACTACGTTTACCGAGACGCGGTCTCCACTCAAGAACTCGTTTTCCCCAACGGTTGTCGGTTCTGCGGCTAATATGGCCAGCCCACTGCCACTTCAGCTTGCTGATCCGGTAGGCTATTTCGGTGACCTTGGTTCTCTGCCGGATCACCTCATTTCAGATGCGATCCCTTAGAGAAACGCCAAGCATAGCCCTTTCCATAGCACGTTGAGCAACTTTGAACTTGTGGACCAGCCGTACCGTAAGTGTCCACGTTTCAGCTCCGTATGTCATGACGGGTAGGACGCACTCATTAAAGACTTTCGTCTTAAGGCACTGTGGGATCGACGATGAGAAGACTCGACGTAGCTTCCCAAACGGCGCCCAACCCAACCGAATTCTTCTGATCACCTCGTCCTCGAAGTTGTTTCTACCTAAGTGCAATGTCTGTCCGAGGTATACATAATTTTGAACAACTTCGAGAACGGCATCGTGTACCGCAATCAGTTCCGGTAGTACATGTTCGTTGAACATGACCTTGATTTTATCTAAGTTCATCCGTAGGCCCATGCGTACAGAAGTGTCAGCTAAGTCATTCAGCATTTGCTGTAGGTCCTGCAACGTCTCTGCCATGATGACGATGTCGTCTGCAAATCGCAAGTGAGAGATGTATTAGCCATTGATATTGATGCCACGCCCTTTCCAGTGCAGCGTCTTGAACATGTCCTCCATTGCATTTGTGAACAATTTTGGGGAAATAACGTCCCCTTGTCTCACTCCTCGATGCAATGGTACGGGCCTTGTTTGCTGATTCTGTACTTGGACGGACATGGTGGCCGCTTCGTAGAGACATCTCATCACTTGGATGTATCGCCAATCTACTTGGCAACTCTGCAGGGACTCCAGAACAGACCAGATCTCGATCGAGTCAAAGGCTTTCTCATAGTCCACGAATGCTAGACACAGGGGCTGATTATATTCTTCGGTCTTCTATATAATCTGCCGCACTGTGTGGATGTGGTCTATGGTGCCATATCCGCTCCGAAACCCAGCTTGCTCCGGTGGTTGGAATTCGTCGAGTCTTTGCGCAAGACGGTTCGTAATGACTCTCGAAAACAGCTTGTAGACGTGGCTTAGAAGGGATATGGGTCGATAGTTCTTCAACCTGGTCTTGTCACCCTTTTTGAAGAACTAGACGACCGCACTCCTACACCACGCTTCCGGAGTTCTCCCTTCAAACAGGACAGCGTTGAAGAGCTTTTGGAGCTCCCTTATTACAGGTTTACCCCCGGCCTTTAGCAGCTCTGTTGTAACGCCATCCTCTCCAGGTGCTTTTCCATTTTTCAGCTGTCCAAGAGCCATCTCGATTTCGTCAATGCTAACTTCTGGCAGGTCTTCGGTGTAGTGACGTGTTAATGTGGCTCTAGAGTCCTCATTTTCGGGATCAGGTCGAGATGCATGCGAAGCGTATAACCGGCCATAGAAGCTTTCCACTTCCAAAAGGACTGCCGGCTTCGAAGCAACGACTTCTCCACTTTCTGTGGTCAACTTTGTCAGGTGGCTTCTTTCAAGAGATTGTACGAACACTTTTGATCTCCGATTTTGCTCGATCGCTCTTTCAAATCACATTTTCGAGGTTCTGATTAACGTCGATTGTGGTTTCCACGGCAGCGAATCGTTTTTCCAGTTTTGACTGGAAAGTTTCAGACCCTGTCATGGCTTGGAGCAGAGTCGGTCGGAGCCTGGATTTCATCAAACAGACACGTTCCGACTTAAAGTTGATATTCAGAGAGCCCCGGACAAGTCGGTGATCACTACCGGTATTAAACCTATTGATCACTGAGACGTCTCTGAATATGTGCTTTCTGTCCGTCATGATGAAATCGATCTCATTTCTGGTAATAGCGTCTGCGCTTTGCCACGTCCACTTCCTTTGGAGCTGTTTCTTGAAGAAAGAGTTCATCAAAAAGAGCCCCTCCCGTTCGAGGAAGTTGACCAGCATTTGCCCCCTATGATTCCTACTACCGATTCGCCGCAATTCTGTACTCCCACTTTAGCGTTGAAGTCACCCATAACAACGCTGTAGTTTGAACTTATAGAAAATTATTATCTACTTTTTAGTTTTGCTAGTTATAAAAGAGTGTTTTTAGTTTTTTAAACTATAATTTCATCACATCATCATACTACACCACGCTGGCCAAACGGGTTGGTATAGATGAATAGGGGTGACGACAGTCTGTATTCTTAATCCGTCACCACACTAACCTTTATTTTACTTTGCATTTTTGGTCATTGATGACGCTTTTGTTCGCATTAAGACTAAGCCGCACTGAGACGCAAAAAGCAACAAGTAGGTAAGTAAGTAAGTAAATGCTTCAGCACACGCCTTAGTCCGTGGCAAAAGACACTACAGTATTTTAGCTATGGCAGAAGCCGTTAATCCTGAAGACCCTGATCAGAATAATCCAACAAATTTATCAAACTATTGTATTGTCATCGGTCCTTGATAAGTGTGCGAAATTTAAATTCAATCCGACGTTTTAAATGAAGTTCAAAGATTCCGTTACATAGATAGATAAATACCAAGCTAATAAAAGCGTGTTAAAAAGATTATATGTGAAAAAAAACCTTACTGACTTATAAATGAACTCACCATCGTGTTTGAGAACGTCTTCAGGAATAGTATCCTCAAAATTGTAGTAATTAGTGACTTTGTGGGCGATGATAGAGCCCTTAACTTCATTCAGCTTTTTGATGATGTGTCTGAAATTTGACAGTGACATTAACTTTTTTCCCTTGAGATCGCCTGCTCCTCGGGGACTAAGGAGCCAGGAGTATGTGGAGCTTCCACAAAAACCTACCCGACGGCCGACCTCAGGTGTCCTACTCTGGGAGGACAATTTTATTTTAGGTCCTCCCCGAATCGACACCATGCTTAATCAGGCCCTATCCCAGAGGAAAACACTTCCCCCCTCAATCGCGGCGTGGCGGCCCGATTATGTCTTAATGCAATCAGACTGCCATTCTATCCCCTATCGCAGCAATCGATCTGCCACTGGGGGCCACCGACATTAATGTGAACTAGTGATGAAGAAATGTTGGTGGTTACTCAACTTTAAGAACTTTTGGAATTACAAAGGCCAGGTCTGTTGCTCTAGTAGTCCAGTGGTTAGTTCTATTCCCTCCTAGGATAAATATTACAATAACAAGCTAAGCCTAATTTGGGATAAGACGCTCGTGTGTAAGATGAGTATATATTTGAATAATATTTTAGAATAATATTTTTTTAAACCTTACCTACTATGTTTTGTTGCAATTGGTAGGGATCTAAAAGTAAGTAGAGATCGAAAATAAGAGACTTACTGTACAGGAATCTGTACTCCATTACTGTTCTTATATACATAGAGCGTCTCTTCTACAATCACGTTTTGATGCTCATCATCGTCGTACGTACCAGTCCACACATCCACCAACTTGTCGAACAAAGATATCGTTTCTCCTAAAAAAAGGCCTCAGTTGAATAATTTTCACTAAAAGCATTAGTGTTGTGAGCACGTAAATATTAATCAAAATATATTTCAGCGCCATCTAGCGAAAGCAACCTTAAATACGTTGTAACTTCTGATCCTGCATCGTACAATGAAAGTTCTCAAGCTGATTATTTTGGTCATGTATAAAATCTAGAATACCTGGTTTAGATGTGTAAGGCTTAAATTAGAATTTTAACTAATAACATAGTAAATGTATTAATCTGATCAAATCAGAGGATAGATTTAATAACTTCGTTCTATTTTTAATGCCGATACAGGAGCATATGGTGTTTCCACTAAAAACCACCCTGACAGCCGGCCTTAGTCACCTTACTCTAGGGAGGACACGCCCCAGATCGACGCCGCACCTAACTAGGCCCTATCCCAGGGGAAACCAGAGCTTCCCCCTGCCTATCAGCCTATCACTAAATGACAAAAGAAATCAATGTAAATCAACAATAAAATTACTAAAATACCTGTAAAACTGAGAAGGGATCCATCAGGCAGCAACTCCAGGTCTTCAATCTTCCTACCTACCATCCAACAATTTATTTCCACCTCCATATCACTGTTGGGCATCGGGAATACCTGTATTCATTGACATAATGATTTAACTTCACTTCTTCTTTTTAAAGATTAAGAACACGGAATGTCAGCACCACTATTCATCCCGTGGGTGTCGTAAGAGCAAACTAAAAAACTACGGGAGCAAACTAAAAAAATTTACAATAAGAGTTAACAGAAAACTAAAATGGATATCGCGTGGGATTAAAATATGCAGTAAAAAAAAGAGGTATTTGCTGTGGAAATTTAAATTGCATCCTACAAAGGAAAATAAATTAAAATATGTTAAATATTGTAAGGTTTTTAAAAAAATAATTAAATGTACAAAACTTGTCCAAAACTGTCACAAAATAAAAACTTCTACAAACAAGTGTAAAGCGGCATGGCTATAAGCAAAATGAGACTAAATTTACCAAAAGAAACAGTTACGGACAGTAAAAGAAGTAACCAACGCTCGATTTCTTGGCCTCATTATAGATAGTAAATTAGCTTGGAAGGATCACATTGAAACATTAAGTAAAAGAATCAGCAGTCTATCATATGCCTTATTTAAACTTGCTCCAATGGTTACTACTGATGCACTTCTCTCAGCATATTATGGCCTTGTAAAGATGTAGCAAATTCGACTTGTAAAGATGTAATCTTTAAAATGCAAAAGCGATGCATTCGAGCCATGTTCGGAATCCAAAGTAGTGAAAGTTGTAATTCGCTTTTTAAAAAATACAAAATTCTCACACTATACTGCATTAAAATGGTTTTGGCTAATTAATTTTATGGCCGGCCGCCTGCCTGTCGCCAACCCTCTTTGGGAATGTAGTCGTTTATACGATAGGGAAGGAAAAAAGGAAACATCGGGGGTGAGAGGATTGGGTGAGAGAGGAAAATTAGGGTGGGGGAGTACTAGGATGGGAGACAGGACTTAGACTGCGGTATGTACCAATATCATATCAATACCAGGGAGTAAACAGTGAGATGACGCTTCTGCCAGGTGGAGTCAAATTTCATGATAGACAATATGGATTTACGTTGGGTAAATCGACAACTGACGCTGTTATATCGGTTAGAAAGTTTGTCACAGGGTCAAAATTTCAATACGTGCTGGCTATTTTCTTAGATATATCTGGCGCCTTCGACAACGCATGGTGGCCCATGCTGTTGCTGAAATTAAAATCACAAACTACTTACTACTTATTAAAGAATTCAAAATAATAATATAATGGAGATGTGCGTCCACTTTAGCTCGTTCATCATGTTTTGCGCAGCATGAAGACTGTTGCAGCTGCCGCGCTACATTCTACCATGCCTATCAAGCACCTATTTGGCTTGGCACCGACTTCAAACAGACTAGAAGGGACTATTGGTATTATAATGTTACCTGTTACATTGAGGGTACTTATTATAGTTTTTTACTTAGATTTGTAATTATTTTTTAATTTTTAGTGCTCTTTGTCGGTGTTTTTTGAAGTCGGTTCAACTTTTTTTTAAAAAGGGTTTATTTTACCATTTTTAGTGTAGGATATGAAAATGACATTGGCGTCCAAACTGATCAAGATCAGCTTAAATTCTTTTCTAAGAAACAGTCAAATTCTTGTGAGTTGCAACCGAACAAAATAACTTCCGATTCAATTGACACTGATCTCGCAGGTGAAGATAGGGAAGCTTTAGTGAGACTACTCAACAAATATGCTCAATATTTTATAGAAGGAGTTTCAACTAGAAGGGTTAATACTAGTATGTTAGAAATTAACCTAGTTGACCCACCCAAAATTTAAGATTTTTTTCCAGAACTATTTTAATAAATTAAGTATAAAATTACTTACAAACGAAATGCGATGCCATCCATAGCAACAAAACGTCTATCCGAATTATTTTAACAAGATAGAATACAAAATTTCAACCTTTTCTTCTTAATACAACGAAAATTACTGTGGTGACATAAATACTGCAAGTTCTCTGCGCATCACATCGCGCAGTCTCTGACAGTTGCCATGGTTTGTTTGGCTAAAGAAATACTCGTAGCTAAAACACGTTGTTGGGGCTGTCAAATTCCCAATAATTGTGAGGGTTTCACTCGATTTCTCTAGGATCCCAGTATCAGATCCTGAATTGGTGGTAATGGGACCAATTCGGGAGCATGCCCTTTCGATTACAAAAAGAATTTTGAAAATCGGTCCACAATTGACGAAGAAATCGCGTAACAAACATACATAAAAAAAAAAATACAGACGAATTGAGAACCTCCTCTTTTGTGTTTTGGAAGTCGGTTAAAAAGAAAACATACTGTCGAATCAAAAACCCTCCTTTTTTGATGTTGGTTAAAAATCGATTAGCATGAAGCTCCTAGTCGAGACGAATCAAATGAGCACAAACACGGCGGAATTGCTTTATTTTATTACAGAGTTCCCATGGCTATTTACCGTCTCCATCATCAGACCCTGAATATCACATAGGATCGGAGTTCTTATTAATTAGACTCAAACACATTCAAATTCGATGGTATTACATAATTTTGTTACAGAGATCCCATACTCCTAAACCATTCATCAACAGCTTCATCATCAGCTCAGCAACATCAGATGGTGACCATTAGATGCAAAAATCTACATAGATTAAGATAATTTCTGATAAACAGTGTATATGCCTACAAAATTTGAGGGTTTCCCTCGATTTCCCCAGGATCCCATCATCAGATCCTGACCTGGTGACAATTGGACCACCTCTGACGTATGACCTACCAAATAAAAAAAGAATTATTCAAATCGGTTTATAATTGCCGGAGTAATCGCGTAACAAATATACAAAAAAAAAAAAAAAAAAATACAGTCGAATTGAGAACCTCCTCCTTTTTTTGAAGTCGGTTAAAAACAGCCCTGATGCATAAAAGTGTCGTATGTAAGGCGCCGTTGATATTTAACAAAATGCCCAAATATATTAAGATCTTGGACATGAATGAATTTAAGACGAAATTTAAGACATTGTTAGCTGATAATTGTTATTATAGAATAGAGGATTTCTTGAATGACAACACTTTATAACCATAATAACATAATGTATCATTGATGATTTTTTGCGCTTTTTTGTATGATTGATGGATTATTGATTGCAGTAAATATATTTATGTTGAATATTGAATGTTTCAGATTAAATGACGGTTAATAGTTGATAATGTGTACCTATAACCATGATATTCGAGTCCTTTCGTTGTAATTGTTTTTTTTTAATATTTTTAAATGTTATTAAACGATTTTATGTTGCATGTAGAAAGATGATATTGTTAAATTAATTTTATATTTGTACACCGGTAACGGTCAAACATGTTGATCAGGCAATATTATTTAACATCTTTAATGTACACATGTTTATGCAAGTAAAATATCTTGTATCTTGTATCAAACTACGTAGGATAACAACCCGTCTGGTCAGCGTGTTATAGTAGGCCGAAATCTCCAAACTAGGGAGAGGCCAATGTGCAGCAGTGGACTATTAAATGCTATAAATGTAATGTGATGTGAATTCTTAAATACAGAAATTAGTATTACCATGTATGTGCTGTTTTCTTCTCCATTGAAATATTTCTTGGTGACGCCTCCATAGTAGTCGACGCGAGCACGGTTCTGATCTGCGCTGGCCCTGTTAAAGAATTAAAGTCTTTCTTTGAACCAAAGAATGGGAGAGCCATGGTTCATCACATAGTAAGTGAACTCCAAGTCCTCACGGAAAACCGGTGTTAATTAATTCTTTCGTTTTTTTTACACTGAGTGTGTAAGGTTGCTCGTGTGGTGACGGATTAAAAATATAGAGTGTCATCACCCCTGTTCATACCGCGGATGTCGTAAGAGCCGACTAAGGGCGCAAACTACGCAGGACAACTGCACTGCAAAGAGAAGGAAAACTTGATAAAAACCCTATAACAACTCGTATCGCTCGCGTTGTACAGTAGGCCAAAACCTCCTTTCTAGAGAGAGGCCTATGTCCAGCAGTGAACTGCTAAAGGCTGGATGTGATATGAGTGAGGTTGTCGGAGGTTAAACACTTAAGGGTACACCTAAAGCGGAGTAGAGTTGCAGGTGTCCATAGGCGTCGGTGGTCACTTATTATCAGGTGACCCGTGTTTTATGGTATGCAAACGAGCACGTTTGCATACCGTAAAACCTTTTCTAGCTTCTTTTCTAGCTTTTATAAAACATACTAGCTATTGGCTTCGATCACGTGATTTTTTTCTTTCTCCATTTTTCTAACTGTGAAAGTAACGAACTTCCTTACAACCGTCCATCAGTTTATTTAACCCCTTAGGGGTGTTCCAAAAAGGCTTTGTGTGGTGAATCTAATTATGGATAACTTTATTTTCTTACCATATCTCAAAGGGTGTCTTCAGGGTGGTAACAAAATTGATATTCTCGCCAGTGAAGTGGTACTCCGTCGGCCATTCTATTTCATGTTCTTCATCATCTATGGGGGCAGCAGAAATTATTACTTAGAAATTAATTGTTTTATCTCATAAAGAACCCTAAAAGTTAAGTAAATATCGCATCATTAGCCATTTTTTATGAAAATATAAAGAAGAACCCGTGACTAGCGAGCGTGTTTGAAATATATAATAAACGTGACAGAGAAACAAGCTGTATTTTACCAAGAATTTTGGCAAAATGTACTCCATGGTTACGGTTCTCAACTTTGGACGGGAATAGGGCAGAAGTTGCGAGGGCAAGTGACGCAGAAACGGGAAAAAAATATTCCTTATGAGAGCAAAAGGAATCTTTTTTGTTAATTATTTATTGATGCTCGGCTCCCATTGGTCATAGCGTGATGTTACAAAACCTTCCTCAATGAATGGTCTATCCAACACTACAAGATTTTTTCAATTTGAATTAGTAGTTAGCGAGATTAACGCGTGCAACCAAACAAACATACAAACTTTTCAGCTTTATTATAATATTAGTATAGATTATTATTATTCACTTACTTAATAAGACGTGGCTGGATATAGAGTTAACACCCAAAATTAAAACAAAAATGGCTGGAAGAACCGCCATTGTGTTGCACTTACTACAACTAAACTAAGAGATTAGCCAGTATTTCCAAAAAATGTACTTTTATAAGGAAACACTGATAAACATAAAGCTGTGTTCACGTTGGGCTTTCGTAATGTGAAACACGTTCATTGGATACTATGATATGGATGGTACTTTGTTATAAATAAGAATTTTACTAAAAAGAAATCAGTCTATAAAATTGGTCAGTGCAAGTATAAACACCTACCTGTGGTGTATTTTGTGAATTTAACACGTTAATCGCCATGTCAGTCATATGTGTCTGACGCTAAGAAGTTCTACATGAGCCACGTCAGACATATATGTCTGACGTACGCGATTTGGTAGAAGGCCACGACAATCACATATGTCCGACGCAAACGATACATTTGCATTATGTTTCGAAAGCTTGGCCTATCAGGAACAAAACTTGAAAATTTCTTGGCTTACTACAAACAATAAAAAAGTTTTAATATAGGCGGAGTGGTGTTGGCGGTGTCCTTGGACATCGCCAACGCCTTCAATAGTCTGCCATTCAGCTGCATCAGGGAAGCGCTCCGCTACCACGGAGTGCCGGAGTACCTGAGACGGCTGGTGGCAGACTATCTTGAGGAGCAAACCATCATGTACGAGGACCGAGATGGCGTCTTGAGACGCAGGGCCATGTCGTGCGGTGTTCCGCAGGGGTCTGTGCTAGGACCTCTCCTGTGGAACATCGGGTACGACTGGGCCCTACGAGGGCGTCTCCCCCCCGGGCTCCGGGCTGGGTGTCATCTGCTACGCGGATGACACTTTAGTCACGGCCCGGGGGGCTAACTTCCAGGCCGCCACGGGAGTTTCCCAGGTGGTCGGGCGCATTGAGGCGTTGGGATTACGGGTTGCCCTGGATAAGACGGAGGCCCTATTATTCCATGGGCCCCGTCGTGGTCCACCCGCCGGCGCCTCAATCGAGGTCGGCTCGGTCCTCGTACCGGTCCGGGCCCAGATGAGGTACCTGGGTCTGGTCCTAGACGGTAGGTGGCTCTTCGACGAGCACTTCCGACAGCTTGGTCCGAAGCTGGTGGACACTGCCTCCGTCTTAGTGTTCCCACGAGGCGGCTGTACGCGAGGGTTGTCCGGTCCATGGCGCTTTATGGTGCACCGGTGTGGGTGGCGGCTCTGACCGCCCCGAATAGGGCGCGCCTCTGGCGCCCACAGAGGATATTGGCGGTCAGAGCCATACGCGGATACCGCACGGAACACCCCCTTGGGATTTGGAGGCGGAAGTGCTCGCCGAAGTTTATCGGCCCGAAGACGTGCGCGAGTGGCGCGAAGCCGCTCGCCAAACCAACATGGTCAGATGGTCGTTCCGGCTGGAGACTCCACGCGCTGGCTTCGCCGCCGCGGAGGCTCTCCAGCCGGTCATCGCCGAGTGGGCAGGGCGGCAGCACGGGACCCTTTCCTTCCGGCTGACGCAGGTGCTTTCCGGGCACGGTTGCTTCGGAAAGTACCTGTACTCGGTCGCTAGGAGGGAATCGAGTCCCGCCTGCCACCACTGCGACTGCAGTGAGGATTCGGCCCAGCATACGCTGGCGGTCTGCCCCGCATGGGCGACGCAGCGCCGGGCCCTCACTGCAGTCATCGGAGCGGGTCTCTCGCTACCGGCCGTAGTTCCCTCCATGGCCGGTAGCGACAGTTGTTTTACCGCGGTCGCAACCTTCTGAGCGGTGCGGTGTGTCGGACTCGAACCGACTAAAACCACACGGTGTGCCCTCTTTGCGCTGCCAGTTTAGGAGGGGTCCAGGTAGCTATCTCCTTCTGGACCCCTCCCAGCGCCGGCCCGCTCCTGGTGCGGGCTCCGTCTCCAATTAAACAATTAGCTAAGCAACTTATCAACACTTCTTGCGATCACAATTAGCATCACAATTCAACGTGGCAATGCTGCCAGCCTTTTGGGAACGCAACCAATAGGCGATAATGCGGTAGAATTTTTTGATCCTTGTATGGAAATAATGTAAATATTTTAATTATATTATATATATTTTTTTAGTTTATTTATAAACGCCTTTTAATAATTATGTTTTATTTTATTAATATTTGAAATAAACTTCATAACTAAAATAAAAGCAAAAGTAGGGTATAAAAAGCGGTATAGCCAGGATCTTTTTAACGATCTATCCTTGACTGGAGATGGGTTATTGAAAACGACCGTTAGAGTTTCTCAGACATACTCGTTTTCTATAGAATTTAAATGTTGAAAGTTTTGTCTGAAATTTTATATAAAATACTAATATATTTCTCTGAACTATTGCAAAAAGAAAAGAAATAAATTCGGAGATTTCAGTTTAGTGTACTTATCTTAAGAATCCATTTAAGTTAAATATGTATGCTGTATAATTTTAATTTAAATATGAGTCGTAATTAATAAATAATATTGTAAACATGGCCTTAACGAAACTTTTGTCAATTAAATTGATTAACTTGAAAAAAGTAATCAGTGCCAATTAAGGAATGCCGGTCAGTATATAAATGTATAATCATATTTATCTACTGATAATTATTTACTGAAAATGTAATGGAAAAAAAATGGCGTGAGGGTATATGGCCCCCGGTCGGAACGAAGTTTACCATAGTGTCAGAAAAAAGTCTTGTTTTCGGTCTCGCTCTCTACCTCGTTTCAACTTCGTTCCAGAAGTGCCTCGGAGAGCACGTTGAGCCTTTGGTATCGGTTGTCATACGAACATTTGTGGCAATCGTTACGGCTAGTTGGATCCCTAAAAAGTATAGTTCTATTGAAATAGTTTTTTTTGCCATTTTTAGGGTACCATACTTCAAAAGAAAAAAACCCGGTACCCTTATAGGATTACGTTGTTACCTGTCTGTCTGTCTGCTTGTCTGTTTGTACGTCGGAAACTCGTGGAGGTATTAAGTTGAAATTAAAACCATATACTCAGGTCTACAGTCCCTTGAAGCGGAAAAAAAATCAAACTTCAAAGTAAACGTAAAAAACAAGATACGGTCATTTATCCCGCAAAAGCGCAATTTGGGACACTCTCAAGGGAATCAAAACTTATAGGGTACCTACTACACCGAGGTACAACTTCACTTATACAACACAATAATATAAGTAATGATAGGTTTTGGAAACTGACTTTCGGGAAACTCGGAAAAACTGCTACACTTGATTCCTGTTATAATGTCCCTGTAAATTTTTACGGAACCCTTGGTGGGCGAGTCCGACTTGCACTTGTCCGTTTTTTTTTTAATTTTAGGTTCAGATTTGAATGCAACAGCCGATTCTAGATACAGGTTAACCTTGATTTACTTGAGCTATTTCTTACACCCCGTGATTGGTGATTCTTCACTCTTTTTACTTCTGCGTCATTACCCACAACATAAGTCTTTAAAAAAATAAAATAATCTTAAAAAATAAACTACATATATATTTAAATTCTTGTCATTGTATCATGTTTTTGCTTTAAATTATTGAGTATTTTAGAACAATTACCATCTGCGGGAGAGGAATGACGTAGATAATTTAAGAATTAAAAGATACGCTGACGTTTGACGCTACCACTAAAAGCAATATCCCTTTCCTATCCGTTGCCTTCCTATATTACCAACTTTTCCTTGCATGTTGAACTCCCAATTTTCCCATCTAATCCCTATAGAGCCCGGTTGACAGCTTAGGCTTGCACCCTATTATGTAACAGGGATTAAAATATCGGCGTCACCTTATAGCCGTATATATATGTTCATCATCATTAGCAGCCTTTAATAGTCCACTGCTGGACATAGGCCTCTCCTTAGAAAGGAGGTTTTGGCTTACTATGCCACGATGGCCAGACGGGTTGGTGTAGGGTTTGTTTCAAGTTGGGGTGCGTGCAGAAAACCTCCTCGTGTGCCTGACGGCTGCTAGTTCCTCATGAATACGTTGGGGGAAGGAGCAGTTGTCTGGCCGGTGTCTGGCTTGGAGGGGCTATTGTCTGTGGCGAATTTCTGCGAGTGGGGAGCATATTTGCTCCACGACGGTTGCTCCACGTGTCCCTCTGGTTGCAGAGGGCTCTGTGGAGGAACGTCGGAGATGGGGTCGCTCCTGTCCGATCGACAGTCGTCGATTGGCAAAGGACGTGGCCAACGCCGCTGCGGTGCAGGCGCACCGATGCGGTAGTTGCTCTCTCTCCACGGATCACTCCTGGCGGGAGAGCTTCCGGCGGGTTCGCTGAATCGGGTTGGCCGGACAGCGGACGGAGGCACGTTTATTGCCGCCGTCGGGGGCTTGGCTTAACCGCCCGGCCCAGAGGAAGGACACCTCTAAGATAAAAAACCCCCAATCCTAAGTTTCGAGGCGCGGCGATGGGATGAATGGCTGGTGGGGTTACCAGTCGTTAGCGCTTCCACTGTAGGGTACCTGCCGACCCCCTACAGTATTTAGGCTTACCCTGGTACGGGGCACTGCCGGGGTGGACTTTTATTTCCTCCACTACTCGTGGGAACCACATGCATAACAATACAAATAACAAAAATAAAAATGATGATGGGCCGGTTTCGGCGGAGATGAGGAAGGAGACGGGAGAGCCATCTGCCATAAGTGGCAGCGAGAGCCGAGGAGGCTTACGCGCCCAGGTAAGCGACCAGGCCCAGGCTGGTGAAAATATTAATGGAAGCAGTCATTCTGGACCGTCTTCCATTAGGAAGCGTCCACGCAACCCTGCTCTGGTGGGAGGTGGGTCGGTGGATCGGTCCTCAGACGAGGAAGGCCTGCTGGCCCCGAAGTTGCCGACCGCAAGGAGAGGTCGGCAGGCTTCGAGAGGGGTGAGTGCTTCAAGGCCGCGGAGGGACGCACAGGGTAGGTTCGTGCGCTCCAATACACCGGCGGCCAGCGAAGCAGAGAGTGACATGGGGATCACTACCGAGGAGCCTGGTGGCGAGAGTTGTGCCTCGCTAGGGAGCTCAAAGGCGGAGCTCAACGCCACCAGAAGAGAGCAGCGCAAAGCCGTCGCGGCCGACGAAGTGTCGGAAAT